TTCCGTATAAGAAATGGTATGTGGTAGGCCCCGCCGAGTTTAGTTGATTACTATTGGGTATGTGTTATCCATAACCCTGACAGTAGCCCCCGACTTCAATGCAAATGAACGAGTTGAGGTTCTCGATCGAAGACTTTGGAACAACTATCATCGTGCTCGCTTGACCGTTATCGGTGAGATCAGAGATAGTGCTAGATTCCTTTTATTGGCCTTTTAGACACCATATTAGGTTTGTCTAGTTTAATCTCCGATGTCGGCAAAGAAGGTACGGAACATGCGACTAAGTCTGTCGTCTTGCTGTAATTGAGAGTTTGGATTGAAGTCAAGAAATTTCGTCTCGGCAGGCACACCATTGCTTCATTCCATGTTCCTTGTCGAACTCCAACGGTCGTTCTCGGATAATCGAGAAGGTGCAAAGTCTGCGACAAAGTCTTGAAATCTGACTTGACTGTTCTGATGTCTGATTTCCCTTATCAACATTTGTCGTACTCGCTTAATCAATCCCAGTGTAAGACCGTAGAGACATGGAGTCCTGGACAACGTTGAATGGAATTTTCCTGAAATCAATACTCGGAACAAAATATTAAATCGAAATAGCCCTCGAGCGAACGCTCAAGGGTAACCTGTTATAATATGTATGGAAAATTTGAAAATAAATTGAATCTACGTGTGACAATAAAAGAGTACTCTCGCTAGAGTTGCCCTCAGCAATCAGAGTTCTGTACTCCTCCTAGCCCCTAGCCTTGTCCTCGGGGAAGTCTGTTCTCGGAGGGGAAGGCTCAATGACCCGTAACTTGCCTAGCTGAAAATGCGATTTACCTAGCCCCCAGCTATGAAGTTGGAAAAACCAATTTCCGATTACACGGCTTAGTTAATACACCTTTTGAGCACTCTTACATGACCAGGTCTTACATGGTCGTTCGGCTCTCAGAGTCTGACAAGACCTTATCTGCTCTGGGCGTCCCTAGCCAAAATTCCCGTAGGTCTCTTGGAGGCTTGTCAGAATGGCGTAAAGGGTCAATAGGTTCGATTTCAAGAGTAGGTGCTATCGTGGTAAGGGATCTCTGGACAAATATTGCACATACAAGCACTTACAGAAAATGACGTAGATGATGAGACGACCACCACACTAGGTGAAGACCAGGTGTACAGTTGTGCCCAACAAATCGCATAGGTAGTGGGAGAACCGCTACGCTGCTGGTCGGAGACCAGTCGTAGTCATAACTCGACCACTTAAAGTGGAGGTATGAGAGATTACTACGACCTACTAGTTCGAGGACCAGGAGTAGGAGTCTCTCAGTCGTTTGAAATTAAGGTGCGAGAGACTAGTCGTAGTCGTACCTCGACCATCAGAAATCATGGTACGAGGACCGCTGCTTTGCTGGTCAAAGACTAGTCGTAGTCGTACCTCGACCATCAGAAGTCGTGGTGCGAGGACCGCTACGTTGCTGGTCAAAGACTAGTCGTAGTCATACCTCGACCATCAGAAGTCGTGGTGCGAGGACCGCTACGTTGCTGGTCGAAGATCAGTCATAGTCGTACCTCTACCACTTGAAGAGAATCCAGAGTAATAGATGGACGACATTCTCGTGACCTGTGAGAACTGCCTCCTGATGATGACGAGGACAATGAGGAATTATCGTAGTCGGAGGTTCAGCTCCTGTACCTACTACCTCATCCTCGGGCCCTCTAGAAGTCTGGGGATCTCGAGTTTTGTCGTCGTCGTCGTGTGACGTCGTGATGTCGTTAACCTTGTCTGTTGTCGTCCTAATGTCATTAGTCCTGGATGTTGTCGTCCTAGTGACAACGGCGATCTAGTCAGTCTTGGTTGTCACTATCACGAGAATGTTGATTGTCGCGTTAGGTGTCGTGAGATTGATGTAACCGACTAGTCGAGGACCAGGAGTAGGCGTATCTCGATCACCTGAAGATGAATTTTTAGGTGGTGAGAGATCGCTACAATCTACTGGTCGAGAACTAGGTGTACGCGTATCTCAATCACCTGAAGATGAACTTTTAGGTGGTGAGAGATCGCTACAATCAACTGGTCGAGAACCAGGTGTAGACGTATCTCGATCACCTGAAGATGAATTTTCAGGTGGTCGAGAACCAGGTATAGGCGTATCTCGATCACCGAAAGATGAAATTTTAGGTGGTGAGAGATCGCTACAATCTACTGGTCGAGAACTAGGTGTAGACGTATCTCGATCACCCGAAGACGAATTTTCAGGTGGTGAGAGATCGCTACAATCTACTAGTCGAGAACCAAGTGTAGACGTATCTCGATCACCCGAAGACGAATTTTTAGGCGGTAAGAGATCGCTACAATCTACTGGTCGAGAACCGGGTGTAGGCATATCTCGATCACCCGAAGATGAATTTTCAGGTGGTGAGAGATCGCTACAATCTTCTGGTCGAGAACTAGGTGTTGGCGTATCTCGATCACCTGAAGATGAATTTTCAGGTGGTGTGAGATCGCTACAATCTACTGGTCGAGAACCAAATGTAGGCGTATCTCGATCATTTGAAGATGAATTTTTAGGTGGTGAGAGATCGCTACAATCAACTGGTCAAGAACCAGGTGTAGACGTATCTCGATCACCCGAAAACGAATTTTCAGGTGGTGAGAGATCGCTACAATCTACTGGTCGAGAACCAGGTGTAGACGTATCTCGATCAACCGAAGAATTTTTAGGTGGTGAGAGATCGCTACAATCTACTGGTCGAGAACCAGGTGTAGGCGTATCTTGATCACCTGAAGATGAAGTTTTAGGTAGTGAGAAATCGCTACGATCTACTGGTCGAGGATCAGGTATAGGTGTATCTCGATCACCTGAAGGTGCGCTAGAGTTGGTGATTACATGTGTATCTCATGTGGCCAGCATGACCCACATTCCCAACTCATAGCATATCCGGATGCCCGTTCGCAATCATGTCGGATGATCAAGCCGACGTCGTTCGCGAGGGATTACCCGTTAACGACATATTCTCCCATAGTCCGGACGTGGTCGGTGCTATATGTGAGATAAGTCGTCAGTCTTCGTTGGTAGGTTGGGTGCGACAACTCTGCATTTGTCGAGAACGTTCTCGATAATGGGTGTACTCGACCACAACCTACTCGAGTGCTCAATTGTTCCTGAAAAATATTTTCTAGAAGACAAGATGTATAGCAGATAATATCGAGCATGTACTCAAAAAACTGCATGAATCCTCTAGTATTATCAGGATATAATGAGCAGATTAAATATCAGGCTTTATGTAAACCATAAATAAGCATGATTTATACAGAGTAAAATAGAGCGAGCCCCAGCATTAAACCGTAGTTGGCCTAATATAGGGAATGCTCACTAATAAATATTGTATAAAAAACATGCTCTAGGTAAACATAATAAATTATTGATCTGACAATATTGTATATATATGAAAAATAAGTACGGTAAATTGTATATAAAATATTGCGTACCTTCGTAGATACATGCTGGATGTATCTACGAAATTAGTAGATCAATTAAATTAATTAACCTACTAATTACCTTAATTAGCCATGCTAATCACATGGTGTGAGCGTGTAGCTTATCTTGGTGCATGTCCATCTATGCTGCCATGCATGTCTAGGATTTGGTTCCACACGTGTGGACGTGGCCGGCTTGAGTTGACGTCGTGATTTGCCATTAATGTTGACTTGAATTAATCCTCCTCCTGAAGACTGGAGTCTAAACCCGACTAGGATACCTCAATGATTTCTAGTCGGTTGGCAAACCGACGTCCCCTGCGACGGCGATGACTTGAATCTTGGTTGATCTCGAATTGTTGATGACGATGGTTCCGATCTCGTCGGGACACGTACTCTTGCCGGGTTGGATCTCCTTGGTCCAAAGTAGTTGAAGTATCTCTCATCAAAAAATCCATAGTGACGCGGCCATGACGAAGCTTGAGATGACGAGGGTCCCGATCCGCCAGATAATGCACTTCGGTTGGGTTGGATCCCCCCTATAGCCGAAGTCGTCGAGTAGCTCGTTATTGGAGAATCCATCTTTTGAACCCATCTCGTCGAAATCTTGAAGCACCAAAATTCCCCTACCTGGCACGCCATTGTCGACGTTTGATATCGCGACTACAGTGTTTGGATGGTATGGGGATCGTTGGTACCAGGGTATATGCGAGATTGAGGTAAAAGAGATGGAAACAGTGATTTTTATACAGGTTCGGACCCCTTATCTAATAGGTAATAGCCCTACATCCTGTTGACCGAAGCCGGTGTTGCTCTTTATTCATCTGGATCACACAAATACAATATTTGGGATAACATATCTGGTCGTTGTCGACTTGGCAGCTAGATAACCAACTTGTAGTCGACGACAGGGGTAGTCTTCCTCCTTGAATCTGTACTCAGCGAGATCAGAGATGGCGCTAGATCCCTCTTGCCCGCTTCCGTAGGCACCGGATGGCGTATGGCTAGGCTACTCTCTGATGTCGATATCTAGCGGCGTGTGTTGGCTTGTGGCTTTGTGGCTTTTTGGTGGATGTGTCCCCTCTCCTCCTAGGAGGGTTTGTATTTATACCCATAGATGCCCCCTTGTCCAAGTAAGACTAGGGAGATAAATATGAATACGATTTAAGTAGTCCTTGTCGTTTCCATGTAGAACTATTCTTGTCCTTTCTTATCCGGAACTCTTTCTATATACGAGGTTTGTTTCCGTATAAGACATGGTAGGTGGTGGGCCCCGTCGAGCTTAGTCGATTACTATTGTGTATGTGGTATCCATAACCCTGACAGATTCGTCTCGCAATTTAAACACAACATGTGTAATTAGTTTTTCTTTTTTCTAGTATTTAATACTTCATGTATGTGTCCAAGCATTCGATGTGATAGGATGAAAAAACTTGCTAGGGATCTAAACATGCCCTAAGATGGTTGGAACTAAGTTTTGGACGCACATGCTAAGCTAAGATAGTAGCAAAAAAATTTCAGCCCCTCCCTCCATGTGCTGGCGTATCCACCCAATACTTTCTCTATTTTCGAATTGTGCGTGGGTTCTACTCCATATTAAACGGTGTGCATCATTTCTCAAGGGTCCAATATTTCGTTTGGATTTCACCAGCCAAATTTCACCTCTCCTCCAAACCGCTCGCTTTATGTCAAATTCGAATTTCAACCCAAACCGGCAAACCCTAATATTCCAATTTCTGGGATAGGAGGATACGGGCCGATAGGAGGCCTATATGGGCCTATTGGGCCGGGCTCCACCGGAGCAAACCCCCTCACATCATAGGGGGACTTGGCCATCGCCGCCGGCAGCCACGCCGCCGCCGCCGCATCTCGCTCCCCTACCCCCCACCGCCGCAAGCCTCCCCGGCGGCGAACCTTACCGCCCCCGCAATGGCCGCGGACTGGATGTGGGCGCGCCGGTCGTGGGAGAAGTGGGCTGGGAAGCACGTCGGCGCTTCGGGTCTCCCCTCCTCCTCCTCCTCCCCCTCCTCTGCCGCTCTTCGCTGCTGCTGCTAACGAGTCGCCGTTGTTGGTGATCTTGCAGGGAAGCCGGTCAAGGCGGCGCTGCTGCTCAACTACGACCCGACGGGGCCGTCTCGCCTCCTCCCCGTCGTGTGAGTCTCCGATCCCCCATCCATCCCCAAATCACGGGCGGTGTTTGGCTACTTCTTGGTCGTAGGGTAGCAACCGTGTTTGTCCGTCTCCTTCGCCTCGATGTCACTAGGTTGTGGGACTGGGGGCACCGTGAAATTGTTGTTTCTGTTGAGGAGTATTTAGGGGGAAATTGTTTGGTTTATTTTGTTGGAGTTCTATATGACTTCAGCATTGTTCGTTTCCTGCCTCCGGTAGCAACTGAGTAATTTACAGGGCCTTCTAGTTTGATTGAAGGAGGATAGGGATTTTGATGGTTAATCATGAACTTAGTGATACTCATCGGTTTATAACCTACAACTCGATGACACAGTTGAAATGCCAATTTGATAAACAACAACGGCAGTTCCAAGAATGGTTTTCAGCTTGCTTGTTGGTAACTTTGGTTCGGTCTCATGTACTTTTGAATGTTTGATGATTGACAAAACACATATGTCCAGATTCGTAGCTAGAAATGCTTATATTTTTGGATGGAAAGAGTAGTTTATTTGTTCATGCATATAATGACAGGAACCAAGTATAAGCTGATATTTTTTTCTTATCTTTCTAACATTCCACTATGTTTACGTCATTCAGTTTGCTCTCAAAATTTGTAATGAAGAGCTGGTAGGGCCATATATTTTCTATATAAATGTACTTACTTAGTTATTATATACATAATTTACGGGAAGCTTGTTCATACAAAATTTTATCAGATCTCGCAGAACTAAATCAAGGAATACTTTACTAGATACGGAGTTTTGTAACTGAACAGCAGATGTGAATATATTAGATAGATTTCAGTGTCAAAGAAATGAACTTATTTGTTGTGATACATGAATGATGAAGATCCTAAGGTCGAAAATTTTCAAATATTCTTTTTTAACTGCCCAGAGCAGAGCAAGAAGGAACTGAACTGAAAGCTGTTGATCTGCTACCATTTCTAGACTTTGTTCGACGGAACAATCTGCAGATGGAATTCTTCTCTATTGGCTCAAACCGGTGTAAGAGACTCACATTATGAATCTGAATCAACCGTACCACTCATAGAAACGTCAAACGCTAATTTTATATTTGTTATCTCCAGCAATATTGTGATTGCCAGTTCTGCATTTACAGATTTGGTCACCTCAATCCATGAACACTGGTTCTGTGCTCGTTGCGTTAATGCAGTACAGCCAGAAGGTGAAGGTGTTATAGTTATGGAGATTGGAGCTTACTTGTTAGTTTGTATGTACGTATCTCATTGTTCAACTTTTGATTTACAGAACTCTAAATACCAGGTTTCCTTTAATTACTTCCATTATACAAATGTGTTCCTGCCAAAAATTTATTTTACTGGCATTGCTATCTGAATGCACAGGTATGATGGTTCTCTTGGTTCTGCTTCACAAGCAATGGTGGCTGTTGATCAGTTTGCATGGCACTTTAATCGAAGAACTCACTAACTGCTGATTTTTGTTAGTTTCAGGTGTGAGATCTGAGATGAGTCTAGACATTGTTGATTGAAATCATTCTTCTAAACTTTAGTGTAACTGCCTAATATTACTGTTCTCTTGGGTTTAGTTGTAATCGCTATTAGCTGTTTTCTGTAAGACAGATGTGTTTGAGGCAATTTAACTAAACTTATTAGGGCATATCTACTCGGTAGTCGTAAGTCCACATAAGCTTTGTATATTTTGTGAGAATGCTTTAGGTTTTGAATATTTGACCTGATGTAGTGGCGAGATATTCAATGGCATATCATTTAATGTTAAAGCTGACCATGTTTGTAAGAACGAAAGGGAGAAAATATGTCAGATTTTCCTATTCTTGTTATTAATGTAGGTGTGTCTAGGACATAAAAACTGAACCGAAGTAACTAGTGAAGTGAAGAGTTTTAATTTAATATTTGCCTATCATACAAGTGCTAAATGTATTGAATATAATTATTTGTAAGGTAGTACCTTGCACATATCTTCATCTATCGGACCTGTTCGATGCACTGATTGTCGTTAGGTAATGAACTGAACTCTGAAGCTAGCGATATCCTTCCAAGCATTGCCAAGTGCAAATGACAGAAAACAGCGTACTCCCTCCATTTTAAATTATTCTAACTTTTAAAATTTGTGTCAAGATACTTATCATTCTCACGTTAGAAAGCACTTGCGTCTTTCTCTTAATTTGTACCCTTTATCAATGCAACTATAGTAGTACTTTGAAAGGAATTTTTAATGCTTGCTTTAAAAAGATGATTAAATTATAATTAATAAGGGTATCTTAGGAGATTTACTATAACAAGAAGTAAATTGAAAAGGAGGGAGTATATTAAGCGGTGATGATCACAAGAAAAAGAGGCAAAATTGGTTCTTGAACATTTGCATTAATTGGCACTCATTCACCAAAACATACCACAATATAATTCTCATATTGCCTGAAAGACGCTACTCTCTCTATGCCAAAAATGCAATATTATAATATGTTTTATCCTATCCTAATTTGTTATATTTTAAAACGGAGTAAATACATTTTAACCAATCTCATTTATACCAATACAAATACAAAGCGATTAGAATGCCCTTCACTTTAGCGAAATTCAAATGTATTGATTGCTTCAAAGATAAAGTCTTTATGGTTAAAATAAAATGTGCTAAAAATATAATAAATCACTAAGGACAGGAAATAGTCTACCACCACACTTATTTTCTTATGGAAGTCTGAAAATCAGCCCTAACTATTTCTTTCAAACTAGATACTATTCACCCATTGACTCTCCCCTCTCCCCTCCCCTAGACCTTTTAGCTTTTTACTTATATAGAAGTCTGAAAATCTACCCTAATATTTTTTTTAACCTAGATACTCTTTCCGTACTTGTAAAGGAAGCCGTTTTGGACAGTGACATGGTCTTCAAAACACAACTTTAACTTCTTGTTTCTATAAAAATATTTATTAAAAAGTGATATGTGTATGATTTTATAAAAGTATTTTTCAAGACAAATCTATTCATATAATTTTTACGTTTTCAAACTCAACAACTTGAGAGTTATTTATGATTTATCTCCCAAGGTTTAACTTAAACATTGTCATAACTGACTTCCTTTACGAATACGGAGAGGGTACTATTCACCGATTGAGTCTCCCCGGCCCCTCTCCTAGACTTTTAACTTGTTACCTATGTATGAAAGTCAACCCTATATTTTTTTTCAGGCTAGACTATTAATCCCTTGACTTTTCAAAACATTCACTTTACACCCTTCAACCTAAACCTGGCTGTTATTTAGTTATAAATAAATTAGTATATCAAATATAAAATATCATTCAAATACATTCTAGCGAAAATATAACCATACAACTTTCGTTCACCATAGTTGAACAATTTAGAAAGGATTAAGCTTCACAATTACTCCAGTTCAACGAATTATGAAGATTAAGCTATCACGGTCCACTGAGTTTATGGGAATTAATCTGAGTTTATGGGGATTATTTAGTGAAGAACCAACCACCGAGTAGATCACTTCCGTGCAAGTTGGTTGACAAGTATAAAAGCATGACCCAAACAAACATACACTTAAACATAGATTCAGCTAACCTTAATGGACAATGACGATGTAACTGAACTGCTTCAAGTGTAATCATGCATTTGTCTCCCACAATTAAATACTAAACCAAGATCAAATCCAAGCATTAATGTCTGGATTGAGTGCTGCCTTGTACATGTCTCCAACAACAAGAAGAAAGTCAATATTAACAACCCCAACTCTTACTCCTCCTCATTGGCCAAATGGTCATCACTCTGTCTTCTGGACAAAACAAAAACAAACAAATAAATTATCCTGTGAATTAACTATGCTGCTAATTGCTTCAGCTACCCTATAATGCATGTAATTAATTAACATTGCAATTAAGCACATAAGTTAATCACCCACATGTACAGGTGTTACTACATTGCAAAGATGAACATGCATTAATTTGGGCATATGCACTTGATAATTTTTGAGCTAGAGCCTAGAGGGTTAGCATGTTCTTGTCCGGGATCTCGCCGGCGGTGCACCATGACCTGCAGCCGGGCGGCCGTAGTCCGTACGACGGCGACGACGGCGACCGCACGCTGGTGGTGCTGCTCACCTTCGGCATCTTCTTCTCCTTCGTCATCCTCTACCTCGTCGCCGGCCTCATCTGGGCCGTCGTCATCACCGCCGCCGCCGTCGTGCTGTCCTTCCTCTACCTCAGGGTCCGGCGGCGGCGCGCCGCCGTGGGCGGCACGGCGGCGGCGGCGGCGCCCAACGACGTGGTCTTCATCGTGGGGGCTCATCAGGCTGCTCGGAGCACCGGCAGCAGCGGCGGCGGCGGTGATGTCGCCGCCGCGGCCATCGTGTCGGCGATCCCGGCGTTCGAGTACAAGAGGGTGAACGGCGGCGGCGGCGAGGACGGCGGCGCGGCGGCCGGGTCGGGGTGGGCGCAGTGCGTGATATGCCTGGGGCTGGTGCAGGTCGGCGAGGTGGTGCGGCGGCTGCCGGCGTGCAAGCACATGTTCCACGTGGAGTGCATCGACGCGTGGCTGAGCTCGCACTCGACTTGCCCGATCTGCCGCGCCGACGTCGTCGACGAGCTCGCCGCCGCCGCCGCCGGCGGCCGGTTAGAGCTGCCGGTTTGATCGATCAGCTCAGCTCAGCTGCTGGCTGATGCTGCCATTGGAGATTAGCTAGCTGTTGCTTGTTGTGTCAGATTATCATGTTAATTTAGTTCGAGATGAAGCTTGACAAGTTGACATAATGTACAGAATGTTTACCTATTGATGATAATCTAATGTGTATATATATTCATGTATAATTTTACATTACATGATAGTATTGCTGGTTCCATTTTAGGCTTTCTCTTTCTCCCTACGGAACTGAACTAATTCATATGAAATTCATAACAGAATTCCTGTAGAATTGAGAATTTGAGATTGTATAGATGTGCACGCTATTGGCTTTTGCAAGAGTTTTCTTAGCAAAGACTTTGGTCGAAAAACAAGAAAAAGTCACGACGAGGAGATCGACTGCTAAGGCAGGTTACAAAATGAGATCATTAATTCAAATTGAAGTTTGGCTGGAGGGCGCCACTGCAACGGCTCCAGTGCTGAGGATGAAGAGTGCACATGTTGCTGCTTCAAAAAGAACATATTCCACTTCTTTTGCTAGCCTTCAGGACAGCAGTGCAATGCACTAGTTTTATGTTGCTTAATTTGTGTTTCTTTGGACTCCATGATTTAAACTTTGTAGGACACCATGGACTTTTTTGAGATACGTTTCACCGTTCATCTTTATTAAAAAAATTATGTAATTATTATTTATTTTATTGTGACTTGATTTATCGATTTATTACCGAATGTTTCTTTAAGGATGATTTAAATATTTTTATATTTACATAAAAAATTTAAATAAGATAAATGATCAAGCATCATACATTAAAAACGAAGATAGTAGTTGCTAAAACTTTGAACAGACTTTCCTACGAATGTGTGAGCGAAGGATGGGATGGCATTCCCAGCGCATCATTCAGCGTATTTCATGTCTGCTTTTGTAAAATCAGGCAAAGGCTTCCTTAGCCCACAGTTTTAATCCTATAGCTAACTTATCATTTGCTAAGTCCCTTTGTAATAAAATAAAACAAAATTGACTTTTGCAAGGTTAGTCACCGTGATTCTTTCCGTGAGGTGTGAAAAGTACTCTCACGGGTTAGCTTGTTAATTTTCCCCTTTTGAGTGGAGAATTCTGACACGCTCCATCTAATAATGGGCATGTTCGGCTGCCGGGGCTACGGCTACGCCACTTCTAGCACGAAGCTGCACTCCCAATATATAATGACTAATCGTCGACAGGTTCAGAATTTAATGGTGGTTTCATATATAATCTCTATGTATGAAATCGTTAGTTATTCATCATATTCAAAATTTAATATAAATATAAAAAAATAAGTCATTTAAATTACCTTTGGCGTGATAAAACACGTAACAACAAATATATATACTTACATAATTTTAAACTAATAAGACAAATGATGGAATGGTTTCATATATTGAAAAATAAAGATACGGAGTATTATATTTCTTTTTTTTATCAGTGCTAAAGGATTTGACTTTTTTGAGCCATCGACCGTCCGTACGTGTTCTAGCTAGTTCGCTAGCTAGTGTTCGCGAGAGCGACTTGTGACTGAATTTGACAATATCAAAATTCGGATATGCCGTACATGTGCTTTTACACGTACAACGCTGCAAGAGGATGACAGAATATTGATATGACGTGTCGAACACCTGGAAGCCTTGAGCAACCCAACTTATAACCATCGTTCTTTTTATATAAACTAAAAAAATACCGGTATGTTGCGAAGATGAAGGCTATCTTAATCTTATTATTATTATATGGTTTAGCTAAAATGAAATTCATTGTAGGAATTTGCTTGGATATTGCTTTTACAAGATCATGAGCTACAATTAGGAGTCCAATCATCTTAAATTAGCATATGAGTTTTTTAAAGAGATCTCTTATATGACTCTTATATTTTCAAAAGCAAATGAATTTAAAATCTACTCAAATACAAATCTGAAATTCCAAAAGCGAATGAACTTGAAAACTAACTTAAACACGGATGACGTATCAAAGTACCGGCAAAAATATCTTTAATTTTTATAATAGTAGAGATATATGTTAGTAAAATTGTAGTTTTGTTATACTCCCTCCGTTTCAGGTTAAAAGACGTTTTGACTTTGATCAAAGTCAAACAATTTAAAGTTTGACTAAGTTTATAGACAAATATAGTAATATTTATAATACCAAATTAGTTTCGTTAAATCAATAATTGGATATATTTTTATAATAAATTTATCTTGGGTTGAAAATATTATTATTTTCTTTTACAAACTTAGTCACACTTGAAGCAGCTTGACTTCGATCAAAGTCAAAACGTCTTATAACCTGAAACGGAGGGAACGGAGAGAGTACTATAGTAGAATTTTTTAAGTGATAATCTTGAGACTAGAGAACTGATCATATTTACTATTTCTAATTCATCAGTCAGACGGAGCGGGAGCAATAGTTTTAATTTTAAGTTGGTTCAGGATATTATTGTTTTAAGTTGGTTCAGGATATTATTGTGCTTGGATATGATTTGGATTTGCTATAATTTTTTAAAATTGGTAGGAGATAAGGTCTGACACACTGACTGGTTTAATATATTAGTAATGTGAATAATTAGATCTATTATTACTTGTTGGATCCAACCCTCGTTTCCTTTTTTTTTTTTTTTCATGTTTGGGTGACTACGACAAATATCTTGGTTGATGATGTAACAGAGGTAAAGAAAAAAATTGCTTGGAGACAACACATTTGTCTCAACAATTGGATACAGAGACGCGTGTCTGAGTTCACCCAACCAAATCTTCAGTCACCAGAAAAAAAGGAAAGGAAAATGTCGAACTAGCCCAAGCATATATAATTTCTGATTTTTGTAGCTTGTTCAAGTACAAACCATGATTCTATTTTGTATGAAATTGTACTATCGCTCCTGTCATGTTGCTGATTATATAGATGAGAATCCAAAGTGTTGCGAGAGATTTACACAACGAAATACTACACTTGTAATGTCCCAGATACATTTGTTTTGTATGAAGGCGGATTCGTTTTATGGTTTTGTGCAAGCTATCTTAGATCAACCATGGAAATGCTAAATAAAAAATTAAATTGTAAGCTAATAAATCCAGGCAAACTATGTTAATGATTAGGTTGCCTTGTGTCCTTTGAACTATGTCAAAATGATGTGGCTTAACCAGAAGAAAAAGAGAGATTTCATAATGATATACCCCATCCATTCAAAAAAAAAATCCAATCTAATTAAAGTTAAGACATTAAGACACAACATAATACAACGAAACTGAATTGTCATGTCACATCCTTAGCTAGGTTGGGTTTTTCTATACGGAGGAAGTAATAAATACTCCCTCCGCATTTTAATGTATGACGTCGTTGACTTTTTGATCAACGTTTGACCATTCGTCTTATTCAAAAAAGTTATGTAATTATTATTTATTTTATTGTCACTTAATTTATCATCAAATATTCTTTAAGTATGGCATAAATATTTTTGTATTTGTATAAAATTTTTGAATAAGACGAATGGTCAAACGTTGTTTAAAAAGTCAACGGCGTCATACGTTAAAATACGGAGGGAGTAATAAAGGATTGGAAGAAAAAAAAGGAAAAGGTTGTGTAGGACAACTACTCACCCTTGTACCTAACATTTTAGACCAAATGCAGGGCTGAGAGCAACAGTGATAGGAAATTTGAAGCAAATGAAATTGTCTATTTACGTCATGACAACATTTGCGAAAAAAAAAACCTGTCAATTTCTCTTGAAACCCTCACCAGAAAGAGACAATAACGAATTACGTATAGCTGCTCAAACTTAAGAGCATCATCAAAAGTCCAAATAGCCAAGGAAGGGGAAAATGGGATGATGGAGGCTTTGTTTCTGCGGGTTTTTAGCAGTTATAATTTACAAAAAAAAAAAAAATGCATCGGTAGCTTTTGCTGTTCAAAGCGAAATCGACAATAACAAACAAGATGAGATACAGCAGGCACCTAGATTGTTATAAATCTTACAGCTCATTTTATTTCTCGGAGGCAATACAGATCGATCAAAGCAGCTACCCAACTATATCCACAGATTCAACTCCTTATGCGCTCTTCATTTGCTGCATCAATCACAAGAACAAGATGGAACCAGCTCAAAGATCAATTAGGCGCACAAACTCAAACTGGACTAGCATGTCATGTATGCTCAACCACTCAGGCAATGGAGTTTCACTTAGAAGATCAAGATATAAGCTAAGGTCGTTCGAATTGTCTATTGAATGATGTTCTTTTCCAAACCCCAAAACAGGACGTGCACATATATCCATATTAATTTCATTTACCCTTCAAGTGATGTTTATTTGTAAACCCCAAAAGATGATAGTGGAAACTCTTGGTCTTTCTTTTTTTACATTTTGTGCTTTCATGCTTGGCTGTATTAGCAACCAAAGTATCTTCTGATTCTTGCCATGTTGAAAAAAGTTTACAAAATTTCCAAACAAAACCCAAAAATTTTCAGGTTGCTTCAAATGTGTGTACTAGTGTAGTTTATGTTACTTTCAGTTGCAATGGTTCCTCTAAAAAAAAGAAGTAACGTTAGGGTGCATTGCAAATATTGAGATTTAGAATGTATATAGTATACACACATACCGTTTTCTCTTCTTCAATCTTAGCCTTGATATAAGAATAGAGTGCAACACCAGCTATGGCAATGCAAGTGCCAATTCCTGTTTGTGTGGTGATCTTGTTGCCTGTTCAACATTAAGTTCACCAAGTATTACACAAAAACATCAGATCATTTGCACACTAAAACTATGTATATGAAGTTCTACAAAAAAAGAGTACAACACTTGCCAATGGCAAGAACAAGAATATGCATACTGATCGACAATCATTATGAAAGATTAAAATTAAAAGTACCGAATGCAATGATTGAGAAGCCAATGACGAAGACACGTTTTAACACATTGCCAACAGCATGTGTTAGAGGGGTCACCCTTTCTAATGTGTTTGTAGCAACCTGGATAAAAGAGAGAATACCAACTATCATCACAAAATGGCAGAAAATTTATCCATATTTGCCTAATACTATGATTTATTTCTATATCTGAACAACTATAAAAAGTTTTAGTTTCAAAATATTGATAGTTACGAACTTACGATGTGGGAAATGCTTGTTTTTATTCTTGACATGTGGACTAAGTTATTTGAGGATGTTGTTTGTAATAGTGATTAAAGTTGTTTTTAACCTTCATCTATAAACCATGTTGTTTCATGATATTCTTGATCTATGGGCAAATTATGACATTAAGCTATTTACCTGGTTATAAAGGTGATAGAACAAGCCCACCACAAGGAGATTAGAAACCAACTTTGCTAATCCAACTTTAGCAATAGCATCTTTGAATCCATGCTGCACTAGTTGAGGTCCTTCAATCTGCAAAATTTGTGTTATAAAGAATCAACATGAAAGTCAATGATAATGCGTAGGTGACTTTAAAGGTATCTTGCGGACTTAAGAAATCATGAGAAAGGGCATGTAGCCTAGTGGTTGCAGTGACCTGAGTAGTACCCCAAGGTCTTGAGTTCAAATCTTCATAGGAGCGAATTTCAGATTGTATTGTTTGAGGGGCTAAGTTCCTAATTTAAATGGTTATATATATCCGATTGGATATAGAGGCCGGGTAAAAAATACCTTCTCTAAAAAAAAGAAATCATATAAAAGAATTTTATTAACCACACTACTATGGGCTAAGGCCCTGCGGGTAGCTGAGCATGCCTTCCTACAGTACGGTTAGTTCACATGAGCAGTACCTACATCTATGGTTTAACCTTGCCTTGCCTCAAGAGCCTGTACCACATCATGCAAGGGACCTGCCAATAGCTAGATGAGTGGGAATCCCTACCCTTGATCCTCACAACCAGTACATTGTACCATCAGTCCAGGGACTAATACCAAAGACAAATGCATAAGACATGTACAGGCGAACATCAAAATTGGATTAGGCCACTTGCAGGCCTGTCAACCATACATACACCTATACAAACAGCATATAAGCATGAGCACATTTCTAAACAGACGTTCCAATTTCCTCTGGAGGGACAGGGAGAGGCCGGTACAGGCCAGGTTAGTTAGCAGGGCAGGAATACAAAACATATTATTTGGTTTGTCCAATTTCCTCCCAAATGTGGCCACCAACCACAGCTAATTAACAGGAAGCTGTGACATCAGTTTCAAGTTTTCTCAACCTCACAAGCAGAGTGATTTTCATTTCTTAGTAGTCAATCATGATGTTCAAATTACTTTAGTAGCAAGGTTACAGTGGATCTCCGATTATTTTCAGACTATTTCTCTACCGCTCTGCGCTTTGGACCCAGTTTGAACTTTGAAGGCATTGTGCTCTGCTGCAACATGGAATCTGGAATGAGAAAACAACAGGAGCTTTGCAAAAAGTAAACTGCTAAAATCACTTTTTCTAATATGTATTCGCAAACTGTAATAAATGGTTATTATCAGGGTTATAGAAAAACAACAACAATTTTGAGTAAAATCCTGCTCCTAGGCTGGTATTCCACGCAGGTAATATCTTAAATTTCTAATTTTAAAAGTAAATGCAGTTACTTGCTTACTGCAAAAGATCATGTGCAAGCACATGAAGCGATGTTTCGTGATGGAACTAAATTTTCAAATGTTGTGCAGTTTTTCAAAGGGATAGAGGAACAGTGGTTTGAGCATGAAAGGGAAAATTGGATTTTACCATGTCAGAACACATGATTAGGGTAATTAGAGAAATGGAGGTGTTGCATACACTAGGTAGTTTTGACCTTAGGAGGAAAATCAGGAATTGTTGTCAAATGAATACAATCATTGTGACCATCTTTCTTTATGCCCCCACATTAGTCTGAATTGAAAAAATGCCTTATATTATTTACCAACAAACACAAGAGTTGCATGCATGCATAAATCACAACTACTTGCAAGAGTATTGCAAAACATGGTTACTCACAACAATGAACTCCTAAAAATTGCTAAATTATGTAGTGGTTTACTGGTTTATGGATCAAATTCTATCCTTGGTGGTTGGCAATTGTAGAACACATGCATGATATTCTTTCGTAGTTTCTTCAAATTCATATAATCAAAATTTGCCTTTTTTGTAACATACGCAATATGGTCAGTGCACAAAATCCAGGCCAGGTCAGAAAAACTGGTAACTACTAGTTACTAGTTCTCTCCATGGATTCGAACTGTAGACTCTGGTCATTACACTCCTTTACTTGTTTTCCTACATAGTGAATACTGAATAATTTTCTACTGTATTTCAAATCCTCTCCAATAAATCAACGACAAAATATCATCAGCACAGTGATAAACAACAAGATGGTGAGAACTTGATAAATATGCTATGCTTAACATCGGCTATGTTGCGATATGCCTTTTTAGGTATCTATAGACCTATATGCTACCAACAGCTGAAGTGTTAAATATGTAACAAACATGCATAAAGATAAAATTAGACTTACAATAATTGCAGGAGGGATGCAGACAAGGAGAGCAATTATTGAGATGTACGCATACAGGTTGGTGCTATCCATGTCAGTCTGTGATAAAGAACAGCAACAAAGTAAAAAAATGAAACGGGAGTATCAAAAGGAAGAGTGAATATGCATGCAGATCATTAGAGGTAACAAGCAAACCATAGCCTTCTTGGAATAAACGCTCCGTAATGTGAAGGAGATATTAGAAATCATGGCATTAACGAAACCAGTCCAATTGAATGAAAGTTCAGTGAGAGATGCCATTGAAACACCTGATTATTTCAAAACAGAATATACTCCAAATGATTACCAATGCACAGAAGTAGAGATGCTATAGAGACAACTAGAAAGTCCTAAAACATAATATGCTTGAAATGATTAAAGATGCATGGAGGCTGTGAGGAATGTTACTGAGACAACTGATAGTAAAGAGTATCCCTGGTTCCCTGGTCATCTTATATAATATCTAGAATATTAATATTAATTTCCTATCTAAGCATGTCATGGAGGAATCTGTGGAATTAAGCAATAAACAGTGAAATAATCAAACTGTAGTTTCTCCAAGGTTCTTCAATCTCATCTTTAGTCTGTTCCCTCCTCCCGAATAACCAAGGCAGCTCAGCCTACCCCCCCCCCCCCCCCCCACAAAGCCCACACACAGAGTTGCGTTTATCGCACGATAAGGTAGGTTTCATTAAGCATGCCATCGTGTAGCACACCACTTATTGATATGCCATTGTAATATCATGATGACCAGAATTCAGGAGAAAGAAATGGTCATTACGCTATAGGAATTAGAGAGAAATAAGAAAGAAATAAAGAAGGCACAAGGCCCAACCTACTAGGAACATGTGTCCACTCTGCACAACAGAAAGGACTATAAGTATCAATTTGGCTCTTTCTCATTTGCCCTCATCATAAGGCAAGGCATCTGATCATGGAAATGTTACTGGAGTGCTTGGATGCTGAGGCATCACCTGCACAGGGGCCTTGACAACCATGAAACCTACTTTCATATGTCCTTATTTGCATTGATGTTAAGATACAAGTGATGTACTGCTAGGAACACAAGCAAAAGGCATAATGAGATTACCTATCACAACCGGAGCAAGAGATAACCACAGCGTCAATGGAACTTGCTGGCCAAGGATAAACTGTGAAGCAGCCGCATTGAAAAATGGTTCAAGAGCTGCAATCATTTTATTTGCAGGAAAAATCTCAGCATAAAGAAGAAACGCAAAAGGCCAAAAATACAAAAATAAAATCAAGATACTGTTGCAGTACCTTTAATGGTGTGGGCAAATGAGACAGCTACAGCAGCAAAGGACACGGTGCTTGTTACATGACCAATAGCATGGCAGACAGCAACTGGGAACAGTAGCTTCAGAACCGTTGAGTTGATCGGCTACAAAAGTTCAAACTTTCCCAAGTTTGACTATTGCCTTCCAGAAATGATATCATTAACGTAAAAAATTTTGGATATGAAACAACTGATGATACATACAAATATACAACTTTTTCAGTATGTATACTAGCTTGATGTATTTAGGGAGTTTTTTGTGGATTCTACTTTGATAAGTTTGGCAATTTGTTGCCAAACTTGGGATGCCACACTTTCTTAACCCCATGTCCAATATGCCATTGATACAAGTTCTCAAATTTTGCGCATCAATTTTCTTGCCACAAAAATCATGGTATGCCACATTATTGGGACAACTAGAAGTGCGCATATGTGTTTAGACGGAAATTTATTTTCCTTATACTAAAAGCATAAAAAAAACTAATTTTCCAACAGGAAATAAGATTTTATATATGTATCAGTAAGTTGATGTGAAGTCGGAGCAAGGATGAGAATGTAGAACGGCTATCACCACCAATTACTCCAATATTAAAAGTAGAGAAAGAGTGGCAAACTGCAGCAATTTACCAAATGAGCCCTTAGGCTGTGTTCGCATGTGGTGGATGGGAACTTATTCCCTCCGCACAGAAAACGGAGCGGTCCATTAGCGCGTGATTAATTAAGTATTACCTAATTGTTTTTCAAAAATGGATTAATTTGATTTTTTTAAGCAACTTTCTTATAGAAACTTTTTGCAAAAAGCACACCGTTTAGCAGTTTGAAAAGCGTGCAAGCGGAAAATGAGGAAGAGGGGTTGGGAACAAGGGGTTGCAAACACAGCCTTAACCCTTTCTTTTACAAGTGCTCTTCACATGATTTTCATCGACATCTAAAGTTCGCGGACACCAGTAGCAAGTCAAAGACTTGAAATCTAGTAGCTGGCTGCCGATCCTCCCTTCCCCTCTACAAGGTAGACATATAACCAAAATACTTGAAAATGCCCTAATGTAGGAGATCAGGTAATATTGATCCTAATTGAACACAAACAGGTAAAGCCACAGAAAAAAATTATTCCTGGCCTGTTTAAATCCAATTTACGTATTCGTCCAGAACGCTTGTCAGTCAGAAACATCACACATAAGAATGAATAAGTGATTTTGTTATATTTTGAGGGCCATAAAGCATTTCATTATAGGTTTTCAGCTAATGGAGATGTAAAAGACCAGCAATTTTGCTCTATCATGGCTGCACATTATTTGACAATTGCCATTGGCAATGATATATGTTGACCAACAACCCCTAATAATTTTGTGTATTCATGCTCATTATTGAAAGGAATCATGGTTGAAGAAGGGCATGGGCATGAGAATACCGCGCGCTTTGGGAGACCAAAACTCCAGCCGACAAGGCAGTACAAGACTCCTACCAAAAGATGGCTCACCGACACAAAACTATATTAACAAGAAAGAGGTTTTAGATCATGAAGATGCATGTTGTCACATGAAAGGAAAAAGAAAAGGAGGCACACATATAAAGCAAACGTACTATGGATAGGGGAAGTAGTCGAAGATCTTCTTGTTAAGGATGTTAAATATCACGTTCAGAAAATACCTACAAAATCATATTGTGAATTGGCAATAGCTAAACCACATTAGGCAGCAACTTCTCAGTTCGCTCACCTGCAATTGTAAATTCTAAAGTGCGCTCAGGTGAGTAAGCATACCACATGAAGAAAAAGAAACCGGTGACAAGAGCAGGGTATCTCTCTGCAAATCCCACAGGCTTTGCTTCCCTGTAAAGTGTAATAGCAATTTCTCAGTTCCCGAAATTGAAGTTACATATACAGGGTGGTGAGAAGAATTGGAATTAGTTCAAATAGAGAATGATCACTTAAAAGTTTGGCACGGTTCTTTTGTTTAGGAGGCGTTGTCCAACTAGTGAAAAAGTTACCGGATTCATAGCTTGTCCCTAATTGCTGCAAACCTATCTTCCTAGCTCTTAACTTTCCATTAATGAAAGAGCATGCTAGCCTATTGATTCAAAAAGAAAATGCATATCTACAAATATCCACTGAGAATAAAGTAACTCCATCGCCTAGACTCTACTGTCTTAAAAACTTGCCACAATCAGAACCTGTGTTGGAACATATGAGAACATAACAAGAATATAAATGCAGAAAAAAAACAAAACAGAAGATGAGAAAGCATAGAAACTTGGTGTTTGAGACACAGGAATTGTTATCCATCATTCCAATGGAATATTTCCCTTGTCTTCAGTTCATTTTTATTTTCCTTTGTGAAGTACATGAAAGAGCAAAACTTCAAAGGAATCTGGCCTATTCATCCATTCCAATTGCTACAATCGGTGAAAGAACACTTATCCGAGAGGGGAAAGCACTATATGTTTGTGTCTTTGTGATATGGGCCATTTGTCCAACAATAATTATAAATGAGTGGATATTTTGCAGTCACAAATAAATTGGACCAATCATCAGATGTATTCATGAACAATGCCAACTTTCCTTATTTGTTTCTTTTTAAAAGTATTCATTTTTCAGTAAAGGACTCATGTGCTATATAGAAATTATGGTTAACACTAAGTTAATGTAAACTCCAAAACAGACCTTAAAAAGTGCACACGACTCTGAAAAACTCAAATCAGCCTTATCTGACCTCCATTGGTTCATGATGGAATACAAATAGAAATCACGAAGGGAATTTCAAGGTCCCAAATGCAAGTAATTGTCCATGCATAGCCTAGCGGCATATTTTGCCAGCTACTCTAAAATCGACCCATACATTGTTCCTTGCCAGTTATCTAATTTGAATGCTCTTTTAGTTAGTATTTGACTCTTCTCCTAATTCAATAGTGAAATATATAAGAAACCAATTCCTCATACATATATTTGGTCCAGTAATGAACATCGCTACACTACTCATTCAGCTTAGAGTAAAGTCCATCACCGGTCCCTAAACTTGTACCGTTGTGTCATCCCAGTCCCTAAAATCGCAAATCGACCGTTCAGGTCCTCAAACTTGTTCGACTATGTCATCCCGGTCCCTAAACTTGCAGATCACTCGTTTAGGTCCTCCAACTTGTTCAGCTGTGTCACAACGGTCCCTAAACAGGACGGTCTAAAAACTTTATATAAAAAATAATTCATAACTTTTTCATGTGAACTCTAATGAAGACAAACTTTATATCAAAATTATAGCTCTCGACGCGACTTACAACTTTGTAGTTGAAAAGTTTTTGAATTAAAACTGTTTAGGGTCCCAAAATATTGTTGCATGTTTATAGATTTTGAAATTTTATAGATCGCGTCGAGGGCTACAAGTTCGGTATAGAGTTTGTCTTCATTAGAGTTCACATGAAAAAGTTATGAATTATTTTTAAATATAAAGTCTTTAAACCGTCCTATTTGACCCAGATGATATTCAAATCCAAGTTTAGGAACCGGGGTGACACAACTGAACAAGTTGGAGGACCTAAACGAGTGATCTGCAAGTTTAGGGACCGGGATGACACGATCGAACAAGTTTGAGGACCTGAACGGTCGATTTGTGAGTTTAAGGACCGGGATGACACAGCGGTACAAGTTTAGGGACCGGTGATGGACTTTACTCTTCAGCTTATGAGGTGCTACTATAATCCCATAAACCATTTGCCCAATAGACAGAAAAAGAAAACTATCTTTGCCTCTTGAAAACGATCAAGGTATGCTTTCGAAGAGATAATACAACTATCATCTTCGGCTAGGACCGAGTTATCAGCATTCAGCAAACACCAAACAGCACAATGCTCTTTGCATAAGAATGTTTGAACGAGGACGGAGAAGGTGGGACCGTAGCGGCAGGCTGCAAGGGGGCACTAACCCGGTGGAGTCCAACGAGGAGGAGGAGGAGGAAGCAGCCGGGGTGCGGATGAGCCGCTTACCCCGCAGGGAAGGCAGCGCGCAAGTTGACGAACCGAGGAGGGGAGCAGGGCGGAGCTGCATCCGGCGGACGAGGCGGGCGCCATCCGATACGGGGCCGCTGAGCGACGTCGACGAGGCTTCCCCGGAGCGCAGCCGTCGAGGAACGGCGACGGCGGCGGCGCCGCCGACGGGCAGGAGGGCCCTGGCCGCCGCCATTTTTGGGGGGGGGGGGGGGGGGGGGGGGGGGGTTTACAGGGGAAGAGAGTGGAGGTGGAGGAGTGTGGGCGGAAGCGGGGTTTCGAGGATTTTTGGGATTTTGGGTGGTGGAGACAAGAGCGCGAGGATAGCGAACCAAACGATTTGGGTGAATGATTAAATTGCGAAAAGAATAGTGCAAATCATATTCCATATTGAAACTTGAAAAATCCAAAATAGACGTATGAGATTTATGCACGTTAGGATGAGTAAACTTTTATGGTTTACACTATATATTTCTTATAAAATTATGGCTATGAAAAACTAGTGAAGACCCTTGCCACGAAACTTTTATACAATGAAAGTGAAAAATATTAGGTCCAAAATTTATAAAACCATACGAGTTTTAGCATGCAACACATAATTCTGTGTATTGTTTCACAAAACAATTTAACCCAAATTTGACATGTGGAGTTTACCAGTTTTTTCATCTATCATACTTATTGCAGCATGTAAGAGTTTTCATCTACGACATGTCAAATCATATAAAACTATCATCCCACATGTCAGGTTTAAGTAGAAGTTGTCAATTTATATGATTTTGTGAAGAGTAGATTTTACTTTGGATCACCTTTTTATTATCGATGTTTCGCTTTGAATTACCCTTTAACCAATATTTTCACTTTTGAACCAGGCGCTTTTACCTTTGTGGCATTTTGGACCATCCTCAAGTATTTTATCCATCTACGTTCAATTTATCATATGTCACAGAAATCAGAAATGGTCGTACATATAGATGTGGAAGTTCATTGATTAGTAAGAGTCGACAAACTATCGTTCATATGCTTCAGAAGAGAGTATGGTAATCCAAAGTGAAATCATTGGTTAAACAGTAATCCAAAGTAAAATATCGGTAATCAAATGTGTCTCAAAGTAAATTTTACCATAATATATTGGATTATATGCTACTTACCAAATCCTATCTTAATATAAAGTTATCCCCCACTAACTCGTTAAGCTTAACCTGCAAAGATGCCACATCATCATCCACTAACAAGATGTCATATCATTATCCACTAATTAACAAGATGTCACATCATTATCCACTAACAATCATCACATTTAAACATCATGCAAACATGCTATATCTTTATAGTTTTTATAATTTAAGAGCTTTTCAAATACAAATATGTTAAATTATCATCCAACATAATTCACATAATGTTTCAATGTATATCTTTGTTATGTTTTATGATATCCTATATACTTATATAGTTCATCCTCACTTAGTGCTTAAATGATTAATCTATGGTCCAAATTATCTTTCTTCTTTTTTTCTCTAATTAAGTCATATCACATCAATTGTTTTAGCCTTTAGATGATTAATCTACGGTCCAAACTATCCCCCTATTTTTCTTCTTCCATAAAGTCATACCACCTTACTTTTTACGTTTGAATCACCATTCTACATACTATTTAAATTTAAATTATTATAAATCACATTAATTTACTTAATCTTAATGTTATCTAGCTATCTTACACGCTATTTTTTTTATTGTTATCATATTAAATTCTCGCAGCAATGCGCGGGGTTTCATCTAGTTTGTATATTTTTATGTAACTTGCACTATAATTTTAGTGGTTTCGTGTAATTTACTCTTTTTTATACGCATACTTGTCCTAAGTTTGTCCTTCAACAACCGGCCCACGTGTGAGAGTAATTAGCCAACAAAGAATAATATTTCTATGCAGTATATGTCATCCAGTAAATAAGGGTGTGCTTGGTTGTTTGCACCACTCCAACCTGGCCCTGACCCGTATGAACCATCCAGGCTGACATGAGCCTGGATGAGTGAGTGCAAAATAAAGTGTTTGGTTGTCTGTATCATATGAGGCTGGATAGTGTAAGATAGTGTTTGGTTGGTTGTATAAGAGATGGACGGGATGCCAGATGCGCTGAGAATGTGTTTGGGTACTTGCATATGGTTGAGTTTGGTTGCCTCTACCATTTGATGGTGAACTCACCTCTTGGGAAATCAAGTGCTATTGCCTATTACTTCTCAATATATATATTTTTATCAAAACAATTTACAACTACTTGTTTCAGAAATAAATTCAAGGAAATTTGAGGGCGCAATTCGCTTGAATGGTTTCAGATCATACCAAAGGCATTCTTTAGAATGCAAGAACTATATATAAAGCATTCATTCATGAATCAATTTAATTTATATAAAAGTGCTGCAAAATCCATGTGTTGCAAATAAGTTCAAACTAGGTGTAGTGTTAACTGAAGTTTAAGATAAAGACATAGGTTATAAAAAAGCACGTTAATTTTTCTCTCCTTTTAATACTAGAAAAAATACCTGTGCATTGCAAAGGAAGCTATTTTAATCTTATTATTGTTATAAAGTTTAGTTAAGGTGAAATTTACTATGAGAATTCATTTGGATATATTTTTCTACAAAATCATGAGCTGCAATTAGGAGACCGATCATCTAAAGTTAGCATGCGATATTTTTTTTTAAAAAAAAAGAGATTTCTTATCCTACTCCTTCTGTATTTCTAAAAGCAAATGAACTTAAAACCCGACTCAAATACGAATATGTATTTCCAAAAGCGAACGAATTTAAAAACCGATTCATACACGAATGACGTACCAAAATACCGGCAAAACATCTTCAATTTTTATAATAGTAGAGATACATATGACCATTTTTTTTTCATTCTTTTGTCTGTGAGACATATTTTAACATGCATGCTCTTTTTTAAAAAAAAGAAAAAGAAAAAGAAAAAAAAACATTCCTAAGCGGTTGTAGTCTATAAAAATCTCTAATGTTTTATTTGAGATCACCGGCAGCATTCCACTGTGTCCGGCTATCACTTTGAGCTACTACAATAGTACGATACAAAAATATAGAATACTAATGCAGACCAATAATTTGTTCAATTTAGTACTCCGTACTTCTTTAGCGAACTCTACCACAAGTCCACAACGAGATAGACAGCATGTAGTATCTGTTAAAATTAAGAGAGAATCCATTACATGCCACTGACTTTGTGACACGTCCACGATTTGTCACTGACTTTATCACGTTCTATAATATGCCATTGACTTTTGCTTAACTTCTACAATTTACCATCGCTGTCCGGTTAGTCTCCGTTAGTGTACAAATTTGTCAAAATGACCAAAATACCCTTGGGGCAAAAGCTTTCAAAATTTGGATAAAAATTCTAAAATATAAGATTTTATGTTTTTGGCCAAATTTTGGATGTTTACAATCTTATATTTATAATATGATATTTTGAATTTGTTATCCAAATTTTGAAAGTTTTTGTCCTAGGGGTATTTCGGTTATTTGGACAAAATTGTACAGTACAACGGAGGCTAACCGGATGGTGATGGTAAATCGTAGAATTTAAGCAAAAGTCGATGGTATATTATAGAACATGATAAAGTCGATGGTAAATTGTAGACGTGTGACAAAATCAGTGGCATATAATGGATTCTCTCAAATTAAGGAACTTCTACTGCTAATAACTAAACAACAGTGGGACGATGAACACAAGGCACTGAAGAAGCAATGATTAGCAGTACATACTACATACAACTAAAAACAAAGTCTACATAACAAAGGTTCATTCCTTTACAAATTTCAGATAGAATGACACTTATTTACAAGGTTCATTTCTGTACAATGTTCAGACAATGATTTATTTCTATACGAGGTTCATATACAGTTTGTGCTTTCTAAACTGTAAGACAAATTTTATACACAACAAACTATTTGTTTGAAAGGCAGCATGAGTGGTATCTGCATAAGACAAGTTAGGAGCAACCTGAGTGTTCTGTTATTACCGAAACCAAGTGAGTGATTTTCAAGTTTGACTCTGGAACTCCAGTTTACTTAAGAATATTGCAATAGGGTTTCCAGGAGAAGGTGGATTTTTCCTGAGCACGGAAGCATATGAACCAGCTCTGTTTGCACCAGCCTCATCAGAGGATCTGAGGATGACAATATCTCTATGTGATTAAGACCCAACTGTCTTTTGATCTGTTCCTTGTTCGCTTCAAGAATCTCCATTTCACCAAAAGGAAGATTTGGTTACAGGGCCTGAAAACCAACATTCTGTGCTTCATCTTTCTTGAACTTAATGAAAGGCATACACTTAACTTTTTTATTTGTTTCAAGTTTAGCTCCTGTCCAAAAGAGCAATTCACCAGAGCATCAATAATGTCTTCATCAGGAGTGAAGGATCTTGCTTCAGTGTCAAATTTGTCCTGGAGTACTCTCAAACATTGCTCTTTCCAGCCATCATAGTGTTCATTCACATATATTAGACCAACTGATAATTTATTTTCCGCAAATGTTGTAGAGGCTGCAGCTCCCTTCTTGGCCACTTTGTGACAAGATTCCTGCTTATGAAGCGATTTCCTCATCAAAACTATGCAGGACTGCAAGTACTTGTTTGTAATTCGTAAAGTAGAATCTGGATCATCAGCAATCGGCCAGCCAGCTCTCACTACAAATCTTTCATTCTTCAGTATCTTTTGCCACACATGCTCAGCATAGTGTGGACAAATAGGAGTGATAAGCCTGGTCTGGACATCCATAAAACGCCACAATAATTCACGGTTTATACCTCCTGCTCCACATGAAAATCTGTACTCATCTCGTGCTGCCTGTAGATCATAAAATCCGGCTTTTAGAGCATCTCAAAACATGGAAGCATCATAATTATTTCCGTGTCTTTGATGGCAAAGTTTATCTCGTTAGCAAAGACGCGATCAGCATAAGTAGATGGTGGCCCAAGTCGAAAGGAAGATTTATCATCAAAAACTTCTTTCATCCATGAAATTTCTTTTGTCAGTCTTAGTGCAGCAGAATTTGCAGTCTCAGAGACAAAGTTTTCATCATCCATACCGTCACCAACATCAGCAAGTGCAAACCTAGTGGCATCAGACGAAAATTCCTCTATGGCCTGTCGAAGGGTCCTGAAATTTCCTGTGGACTTAGACATCTTCTCAGAATTAAGCAGAAGGTGTCTGTTGCAACGGAATCCGCGGGGCCAATGATGTTTTGGAAGAAGTGTTGTGTGATTGAAGATACAGAAGGCCAGATGGTTCTGCATAAGGTCCTTACCTGAAATTCGAAGATCGAAGGGATACCAGTACTCAAACTCTTGCTTCATTTTTGTCAAAACAGTAGAGGGGATGCTAGTTTTTGGTGCCGGACCATTACAGAACACATAATCCCATACTTCATCAGTCATTTGTTCTGGCCTTATATAAGAGTTGTCAGATCCATAAATGTTACCATTTTGCAGTATATGTGCAATGGTGTAGTAGGCCATGTACAAAGTTGAATCAGAAAGAGAATCTACAAGAAACTTCTCATCCCATGGAATCCGAGTACCTAGTCCAAAAGAACATGAACGGGCCCGTGAAGTCAGCCAGTTCAATGTGTGCTCAAAACTATTACGGGCTTCAACTGAGAATGTATTCATCTTGTCCAAGCATTCTATAGCCTTTTGTTTCCATTCAGCCTCACCATATGTTATGAGCCATTGATCTGTGAGAGCAACAACACAGTCATCACCTGACCTGGAAATGACCTTCTCCTGAGGCTCATAGTACAAAACAGCCATATCTGCCTTCAATAGCTTTTCCTTTATCAATGGCTTCACTTCTTGAACCTTTCGGTTGCTAAACTCACCAACAATCATTATGCCATCATCGAAGCCTTTCAAATATGTGATCTCTTTTGCTTTAGCAAGTTTTTCTTTCTCATCTGGACTATCCATTTTCAGATCAAAACAAACCTTCTCTGCTGATTTATTTCCAAAACTTGGAACATCAATTATTGGTATAACTTCAAAGGGGAAAACCCACTCATCTTTCACTCCACATGCCACTCTAAAATCTTGATTTTTTACCAACTCTTGTAATGCGATGAAATCATCCGGTGTATCACTTGGAACACTAGTCACAATTCCAGTGCCTTTATCTACTAATATGTTCTGCATTGGAAGAACATATATGACTTCGTTGGAGGCAAGAGGTGACTTCAATGGCAAACCAATCAGATCTGTGCCAAGCAGCTCAACTAAGCAAGTTGGCTTTTCTGGAACTCTGGATAGCATCTGGTAAGCAAGATTACGTGCAGCTCTTGCTGTCAATATAAAAACATCGGTTTCATTTATCTCAAAAGGCCCATACTTTCCATCAAGGAGGACCCAACAGTTTGTTTGACCCAGGGGCGAAGCCAGGATAAATAGTTACCGCGGTCAGTATTCGTACTAATCAGGATTTACGTTTTCAACCAAAACCGATCGAAAACCATGCAATTTTGATGTTTCCACGCAGGGCAAAAGTAGATTCCGAGTGAAATTTTGAATGGTCTTCGAGAATTATTTTTTGAATAAAAAAAAGTAGACCAAAATTTGATCAAGATTAATCAAATTTTTGCGAAAAATGCCATACGGCTGGTTGGAATCCAACAGTAAATCGGAAATAAAACTACATAATTATTACAGCTTGTAATTAGAGACTACATACTACGAGACAAAATTATTAAAATAAAGCCAACTCCTGTTGTAGTAGTGTTACATCTTGCCTATTACAGCTTCTGTCGATAAAATTATTAAAACATGTACATTATTGGATTATTTTACAAGCTGTAAAAGACACCAAATGCATCAAAGATTATCAAAACCACTAATTATTTGCCTTCCATTATGCTGGAAATAAAATAAAATATGATAAATATGATGTCAGGACGTGCGATGCCGATGCAATACAACGAGGAATATGATGATGCAACCAGGGAATTTGTGGAGTAGTGTCTTCCGATCTTATTTATGGGCTCAAATATCAATCGTATATGCATATTGGGCCATTGTATAATCATAACTGCTAGTTCATTTTCTATTTGCTGCTTGCTAGTATCTCGTTCCTATAGTAACCAGTTGAGCTTTGATGGAGAGCAATTTTACGGTTCTTGAGGAGGTACCATGAGGTACCACTAGTATAGAATTGCTCTTTGATGGAACAATCAAGGATGTCACTGGGGTCTAGTTTAGCTCTTCATTGGGGGCATAGCTGGTAAAATAAGAGGGGTACTGGACATTAGCAAAACATCGTTGGGGTCTACTGACCCCGATGATTACCTGTAGCTTCGCCCCCGGTTTGACCATATATTGTCTCAGGTCTGAGTGTTGCTGCGGCCAAATACACATTTCTGCCTTCCAGGACCATCAACTTGGGTGGAAATGGCGGAATAACCTTCATCTTAATCAGTACATATTCCTGTGGCTCGACCTCTTCACCTGATGCCCGATCATGGCCAAGACAAGGTTGGCGATCTAATGGGGAGTAGATCATGTACTGCTTGCCTTTGACAATCCTGTGCATTTTCTTCAACTTTCTCATCTGCCATTGGACAAAAGCATCATAAAATGGATTCATATCAGTGGTTATAAATGAACGCCTCCAATCACAACTTAGCCCAAAATCCTCGAGATCTTCCATGGCCAGCGGAGGAAAGTAGCTTAACCAATGATGAAGATTTTGAAATTCCACAATCTCTCCATCAGCAATGCCAAAGCTCCTCATGATCTCCCACTGGGATTTGTATGAGCCAGATTTTGCTACTGACTTAGATCTCTTGCTCCTGTACTTATCTTGGGCACTAGCAGTGGTCTGGCCATAAATTCTATCATTTGTCAACTCAAATTTTGAGTTTTTGTTGGCAGGTGGGAGCACTGGAGGATTTCCATACTGTTGTATCTCTTTACCAAGCTTATCAGCTGATGGCTTGATTGGCATTCCAGTACAGTGGAAAGCAAAGGGTAAAAGGACATTTGAGCCATGGAGTCTGTGGTATGCTGCAGCAAACTCAAGCTTCGATAGTGTGAAGGCATGGCCTAAATGTAGCATGCCATTCATGTATGGGTATGTGAAATTCCCAAAGAATTTTTCACCAGGGCTTGGAGGTGTATCACCAGCCTTTGCTTCGAAAACCTTGTTCTCTTCCCAACATTTTTGCACTTCAGATTGGATCTTAAGCAAAAGGTCCCTCCGAGCAAAACTTTTCCCTTCATCATAACTAGATGACATTTTCTCTTTTCCTAATGAACCAACAAAAGGGTGTTAAATACAGAAATAAACATTTTTTGTAATGTACAAAAAACCTGAAACAAACTACAAACGAATCCAGTGTATGGTCCAATGGTAGATTGATTTAAAATGCAGTATGCAAAACCCCCAAATAAACTGTACTTGTGAACAGCTTTGATTTGTGATAGAAAATAAAGTGGTTACTGAGAGTAAACAACAGAATAACAGAATATTGTGGCAAAAAAGTTAGAATTATTTGCATAATGCAAGACAAAGAAAGTCGCATGAAACAGATCAGATAAATAGTTATCTTGTGAAGTATATGGAAAGCTATAGTTGATGCAAAGTAGCAAAATCCAACAAAGCAAGGAGGGTAACAGACAATACCATCTATGAGTAGATTATTTTGATTCAATAATATGTACAGAGCAAATTTGTTGAAAGTTCTCACTAAATCACAACTATCACAGAAAAGACATGCCTTTCAGGAAATGTTTCAGGTTGTCATGCTTTTTAAATTTTAAAGCTTTTGTTTTTGGAAGTTGGCCACACTGCTGTAAACCTTCAGATCCCCATCCCCAGCACATTTGGTAGTCTAGTTTTAATGGCAAGATTATATTCGAATTTCAATTTTGAAATATCTATTCGTTTATATGGATAGTCCATATCTACTTCAATATTAGCCATCTCGTCCCTATTTCACTTTTCATATCTAATTCACTAAAATTTCTGAAATAATAACTCAGACCTGAGTTTAAACATTTTCTGATGAAATACATGCAAAGAGGTTGGTTTTTCAAAAACAATTGAAGGTATGGGATTATTCCAAGTTTGCTACAACGAGATTTGATATTTAAATGATAATTTGCAGGCAAACAGAGGCTATTGAAAACTGTGATTCTTATCTACAATCTAATTCGTTCCTGTAGATTTATCACAATCAAAGCAAAAATCTAGTACCTTGGTATATGACCAGAATGCAATCTCCAGTCTAGAACCCTTCCTTCCCCTTAGTTCATTTACACCCTGATGAAGCACATGGAAAAAAAACGCAAACCAAAATGTTACTACAGTACTTGACATAATCCCCTCAACCCTAAAAAAATTTAAACAAAAATGAAGTATCGCATCCTCAACATTTGAACAAGGAGGAATTGCATTTGCATACCGGGGGGATTGTGATTTGTGAGGCGGCGAAAGAACAAGAAGAAGAGGTTGCTTGCTGCGGCTGCTCCAGTGGTTTGGAGGCGGAAAGAGTGCTGCGACATGGCCGCCGTCGAGCCCAGTTTTTGTACTCGCTGCAAAGCAGTCAAACCCTCCAATCAACTGGAAACCTAGGGTTTCTTGGCCCCTACTTCTCCTTACCCGCGGGAACCCGTCAAGGCGTCAAAGACGAACAGCTCCCTCCAGTCAACCAATCCACCACGGCCGCGGCGGCCATGAGAAAATTGCTATGCAATCTTCAACGACGGGTTATTTTGGCTTCATTAAATTATCACTTTAAAAGATAATGCACTTTGGCATCTCTTTGCGGAATAAACGAAATGGCTTATTTGCAAATGCTGAATATAAATTTTATATACGTATTCTTAGCGATCTAAAATCAAAGGCTGAAAAGTAAACTTTGATAAAAAAAAATCTCAAAATCAGTTTCAAATTTAAGATTGAAAATTCAAATTTTAGCTGATAAGCAGCATACACGAAAAGATGAGGCCCTAAAACTCCGGTGGCCTCACTTTATTTGTTTGGCCCATCGTCGTTATGTGCTGCAAGAGAGGGATATGGAGAAGTACATCGTCTAACTAGCATGCCATTGACATCCTATCAGACGTGTGCCACCCAACTGTATAGGTTATAGGTCTGTTTTTCTATGGATAGACCAAACTAAACATCATTTGAAAATAGTAATTTAGAGAGATCAAAATACAATATGGCATACAAAGCGGGGGATCCTAATGGGCGATCGATTGCCCGGATACTGGGGTAGCGATCGATCCCCTCCCCCCTCCCTCCCTCTACCCCTCCACCTGGTTTTCTTTTTTGGCACCGCATTACTTTCCTATTTTAGTAAATTTATACACATAAAGTTTATACACCTTAAGTTTACACATCTAAAGTTCAGAGACCAAAAGTTTATAAGTCAAAAGTTTATATATCCGATTCAAATTTGAATTTGAATTCAAATATTTTTTTATATATAGTATTTCTATACATCTAAAGTTTATACACCTAAAGTTTATAGACCTAAAGTTTATAAGTCAAAAGTTTACATACCCGATTCAAATTTGAATTTGAATTCAAATATTTTCTATATATAGTATTTCTATACATCTAAAGTTTATACACCTAAAGTTTATAGACCCAAAGTTTATAAGTCAAAAGTTTACATACCCGATTCAAATTTGAATTTGAATTCAAATTCAAATTTGAATTCAAATATTTTCTATATATATAGTATTTCTATACATCTAAAGTTTATACACCTAAAGTTTATAGACCCAAAGTTTATAAGTCAAAAGTTTATATACCCGATTTAAATTTGAATTTGAATTCAAAATTTTTATATATAAGTATTTCTATACATAAATTTTTCTAATTTTTTATTTTTTTAAAAAAATTTTATGTGGTGTACTGTAATAGGAAGAGAAGAAGGGGAGGAGGAAGGAGGGAGAGGAGGGATAAGTGTACGGTATAGGGGAGGGGGCGGGCGGGTGATCGCTGGGCGGACGGAGGAGCGATCACCCGCCTATTAGCATTAGCATTCTCGGCGATCACCCGCCCATTAGGAATACCCAATTTTCTCGGCGGCAATGGACGTCTCTCTATCGGCTGTTCTGGGCTGAGGAGGACGAAGGCAAAGGGGCTCTCCGGCCCGTGGGCTGTTTCCACGTCGTCCGTTTCTGGGCCGCACGTGCGCCTAGTTGGCACGCACGTCTCCCCCACTTCTTTCGTTTTTTCCATTTCCTTTTAATTTTCTGAAAAGGAAAGGGAGGAGAGAGAAAGGCAAAGAGGAGGCGAGGCAGAGGAGTGGAGCAGCATCCGAATCCGGCCACCTCATCATCTCGCCTCGCTTCCCGGCGGAGATCGCGAGGGCGACGGCGGCGGCGGCGGCAAGCTGCCTCCGACGAGCCCAGGTAACGGCAAGCCGCAGGCAACCTCTCCCATCTCGCCGCCTCCTGCTCGCGCGCGGCGTGAGGATGCCTCCTGCTCTGTAGTCTAGTCCGTGTGGTTCACTGGTAGGTAGGTTGTTGCTTTTAGCTGCGAGCAGCGAGAGATTCGGGTCAACCGCTCGCGCGCGGAGGGCCGCCGAATCTGGATCACCCCGTGGGTGGGGGGACTAGCTGGTGCTGGTGGGAATTGGGATAACGGCTGATACGGCGCTTTGGTTTGGTTTTGTATGATGTAGTGCGCACGAAAGCAGAGCACTTTTGTACGGTCATAGTGACCATGAACAGCAAATCCGACTTGGAGGAGAGGGGGAATCCATCAGGATTACTGACCCGAGTTAGGAGAAGCCCAATTTCAGCATTTCCTGTGCTGAATGGAGCACATAGGACGAATTGTCATTCTATTTGGTGTTGGATCATGAGGTTGAATTTCCTTCTGATCTGTTCTTGTTAGTTCATTCGGGGAGGTGTTTCTTTCTGTCCCTCCATTTTTTCTCTCAAATAGTAGTATTGCGTCCCAGTCCTTACCGAGGTTAATGCTTGTTAAATTGGTTGACGATATCGGGGGAACATGTAAGCTGGGCCTTTTCTACCTACCTATGTCATTTTGGACCGATGCCTGATAAGCTTGATTTTCCCATAATGTTCTTGTCCAATCAGGCTCCAACATGATTGGTTTTCTGATGTGTACATTTTCTGATTTTTTTTTAATATAAACACTCTTAGGTGTTTTTGGAATGCTATTAGCTCTTAAAACCTTTGGTCCATCAGATGAACCAGAAGCTACAAACGTCACTTATGATAGATAATTTTTTTTATTGTTTCTTTTTCATTTTATTTATTTTGGTCTTTAATATTCCTATTTGTGCATTTCTTGTATCTCACATGTCTCCCTTTTTGTGTATAACCAAATGTGTAGCAGGCAGAAAAGGAGTTATGGATGTTGAGAACAGTATGGATGATGACCATTTCCAACAAAACATGGGTAATGGAGATGGAATGAATGTAGAAGGAGGAAGTATGGAAATTATTACTAGAGTGGAACTTGAGCTTGCATTTGCCTCTGAGAAATTACTAAATCTAGAGATGTTGGTGATGGAGATAGCTCGCAAGGCTACTGATTTTGAGCCTCCTACATTGGAAGACGAATCTGTTTCTTCTGAAACTGCCGAGAGTGCTTTTGAATTGGACATCCTATATGGTTTTCTAGATGCAGAAGTAGGGGAGTTAGATGACATGATCAGTACTCTTGAGACTGATATTCAAAATGTTGAGCATATGGTTTGTCAAGATGAATCTGGAGGCAAGATTAAAGCTAGGCTAGATGCTGCTATGGTGTCTTTAAAGCAGATGAAGGAATTAGTTTCTGATATCAGAAAAGAGTCAGCCAAGTTTGAGAAAGCCATAGAGTTTCCCCATGACAAAGAAGGTAATGCTCAGTTACCCTGGGTTTTATATGCATCAATTAGCACTCTTTTCTAACTACAATTATACAGGCATTACTGGAGACGCTGGGTATGAAAATGGTATTGTGTCATCCCACACTAGCATGAGGACAGAGGATCAACGAAGAAATGTTTTGCAGATGTTAGAACAATCGATAGCAAGTGAGCTGGATCTTGAAAAGAAGCTCTCTGAATCAAGATGTATTATAGAAGAACTCAAACTAAAGCTCCATCATCATGATCAGGAAAAATATTTCCTGGAGGAATCTATCGAATCATTATGTGGGAAAACATTTGCAGCAGAAAACGCTTCTGAGGTACTCTTGGGAACTTCAAAGGAACTTGTGGACAAAGTTAGTACCGTAGAGTGCCATCTAAGTGCATCAAGATGTAGGGAGGGTGATCTGGAGTCGAAGTTAGGAGAAAGCTTGATGGGATTATCTTCACTGCAAGTCAACGCAGAGAATATTCAAGAAGGGAGTCAACATAGTGGAGGCACAGAAACTCATCCAAGTCCTGAATTGCCATCCTTGCAGGATAAGGTTAAGGAGCTAGAAAAACAGTTGAGGGAATCTGATTCACAGTTGCAGTTGGCAAAGGCATCAGCAGAAACTTTTCAGGAGGAGCAGAATGTGCTGCATGCCGAGATAAGCACATTAGAAAACATTATTAAGAGTCTCAAAGAAGATGTCTCAAGAGCAGAAAGTAGAGCACAAAATGCTGAGTTAAGGTGCATGCAGCTAACTGAAGCTAACATAGAACTTAATGGGGAGCTAAACTCTCTTAAAAGTCATGGTTCAGAAAAGACTAGCCTTTTGGAGAGGAAACTTAAGGAGTCACATACCCAATTAGAGCATGCAAAGGCATCTCTTGATGCCACTGTTGAACAGCAGAGTATGCTGAGATCTACAATGTCGGACATGGAACATATGATTGATGATCTGAAGGGAAAGGTTTTAAAAGCTGAAACCAGAGCAGAGAATGCTGAATCTAAGTGTACATTGTTAACAGACACTAACTTAGAACTTAGTGAGGAGCTATCGTTTCTGAGGGGTCGAGCAGAAAGTCTAGAGAACTCATTACATGAAGCCAACCATGTTAAGATGTCTACCGTCAAGGATATTGGAATCAGAACAAAAATAATTACTGATTTGGTCACAAAACTTGCATTGGAAAGAGAACGACTTCATCAACAGGTCTATACGCGACCGAATACACTTTTGTTGCCGTTGTCAATACTTTAGCTTTTTTATATATACATGCTACTCGTGCATAGTTTGGAAACACATGATTCAAGAAAAAGATACAAATCTTCAATTAGACCTTTTAATTTTACTGTGTTGAATGACACTGTGGATTGGTCTTGCTTCCAAATTTAGCAAGACATGAGTTGATACAAAAAAGACTAGATGTTAACCTTACCTTTTAGTATTCTAAGTAAATCCAAATATCTGTTTATGACTATGTTCGAAGTCCATGCTTGTGTTTAGACCGATGAACCATTTTCATTATTTGCAAAGTTTGGTTATTCTTGTTGACAAAGGTAAACAAGACAATACATGATGTGAGTGAGACTTAGACAGTGGGGGATTGTGACCTAGCTTTAGTGCATCAAAGTTCAAAGATCTGCATGTACCTTTTGAATGTAAACAGAAAATCTAAAACTTTGTGGTGGAAAAAAGCTGACATGATACTATTTTCATGGTGTGTTTTGTTTTCCAATTCAAGCAATGGTAAGTGTTTTGGATTATTTTAGGAAGGAAAACTTTCGTATGACTCGTGCTACACTAAATACAGTGTGAACTCATATTCTACCAAATCTGAATTAATCTATGTTAAGCAGTAAGTTGAACTGTTGCTGTTCCATATTTATTTGATGATTTCTTTTCTGATGGCTCCAGATTTCGTTGTTGACAAAGAAAAACAAGATATTGGCTCAGAAGTGCAAAGGAAGTGTTAAGGATGACACTCAATTGAGCAAAAATGTTACTGGCAAAGATGTTGAGCTTCATTCTACTAAATTAGCGGAGGAAATAGTTCCTGATTTTTCTTCATCACAGACTAAGGTGAAAATTATCTTTAGTTGATTCTCTTTTTCATACTGTACAAAAAAGGTATAAATTGCTGCTGCTTGGTCGACATCATCCACAACTATTTGATACTCATGCCATTAGTAAGTTAACATTTGCTGTGGTGAAGTAATTAGGTCTAGCTTGGGTTTGGGCTGAACCTGCCAATTTAAGTTTGTGGTTAGGTTGAGCTTTGTGTAAGATGGCCAGATTGGGCTCAACCTCTCAGGTACGACTTGGGTTGTGTTAGCAACTAAAAGCCCAAGTACCCATTGGTAGTAACTACACTTTCGTAGTATGTACTCAAGTCAGTCAATCTCTCATTCGTAGTAAGTACGCATTTGTATGTACTCAAGTCAGTCTATCTCATTACTTTTAAAATATTGTGTAGTAAAACTTCTTTTAACAATTGAGCTATAGTTATATAATTATGTTTACATGAATTAATTGTACAACTGTATTGAAATTTCTTGGATTAACACACAGATGTATGAAACAGTTTTCTCTTGGTTCTGTTGCAATGTAATTCCGCTTTCTTCTTTCTAATAAAGACGCACAAGTTTGTAAGCAGCATATCTGTTTGAGATCTCAGACGTAGCTGTCAGCGCAAGACATTATCATAGTTGATTGATTATTTCTAAATGCCTTTTAGAACATGGATAATATCTTGATCCGACTTCTGAGGTTTTCAAACTCTTGTTGCGTTACTGAAATTGTGTACAGGCTGAGAAACCTGTAGACCCTAGCAATGAGGAAGAGAAGACGAGGTCTTCAGAGGATGATGACTCTGGCGGGGAGGGCACTGCTGAGGCAGTCCGGACCATACAGCCGTCAGTGCTGAACTGGAAGTACATCACCGTGGCATTCCTGATCTTGTTAGTCGCTGTCTTCATATACTTGCCACTCCCAGAAGAAAGCAGCTCCGTTTGAAGAGGCCAATGCAATGATGGCTAATGTAGTCTGTAGTGTGTACACTATTTACATCCCTGTTTTTTTTTTCTTTGTTTGTTTCACCCCCTTTCTGCTCATAGAATAAGCAATTTTTGGTGCTGTAGACTGTGATATGTAGTGTTCAGATCTGGCCTGAACTCGGTAGTGATGCACTGATGCTCCTGGATGAGTGATTGTAAACTCTTAGTTTGGCTGCCATTGCCCAGTCTTTTGGCCTCTAAGACAAATGGTTATGACTTGTGAGTTGTGACTAGTAAATTTCCTTCTGTTGATTCTAATTATCTGTAGACTAACACTAAGAATGATGACGTACGGTACTGAGCGGAAACTCTTCCAAAGCTCCTGTATTGATGCTAAGTGCCATCAGAATTATCCGGTACAGCTGAAACTTGTGACAGGAAGCATTCCTAAGGGCTGTTCAATGCGTGCCCCTGGATCGTTCCCCAGCTCACACCGTCCGCGTAGAGGTGGCCAAATGGGCCGGGCCAAACGGGCCGCGCGCGGCACGGCCGGACCTGTAGCAGGCACGGCCCGGCACGGCCTGCTACAGTAACGGGCCGTGCCGGCACGGCCCGTTTAGCCGTGCCGTGCTTGGGCCGCTGGCCGAGCACGCGGGCCGGCACGGCACGGCACGGCTACTGTAGCGGGCCGGCACGGCACGGCCCGGCACGGCACGGCGGCGGCCCGTCAGGCGCGGCAGGCGGGCGGCGGTCCAATGGGACGGCGACACGTGGCACTAACGGCTATTTGACCGTTGAAATTTGAAAATAACCGTTGGGAGGCTAAAAAATTCATAAAAATTCCGAAAAAATTCCAAAAAATCTCAAATTTCGCCCTATAAATAGGGCATGAACCCCAGCCATTTCTCCTCATCCCACACTCCTCATCTTGTGCTCTCAAGTGTTTTAAGTGCTCTCTTTGTTCTCAAGTGTGCATTTTTTTTTGATTTTGACAAAATTTGCTCAAATTTTGTCAAAAATCAAAATTAGTTTCGTAGTTCAACAGTTTGATCGCAGAGGTTTGAAGAGCTCGCGGTTGGAAAGATGTAAGTAATATTCAAATTTGTGTATTATTTGTATTGTGTTTGTGAATTCAATAAATATTCGAAAATTTGTTTATGTCGGTTTAAATTTTCAGAATGGATCCGAACTTTCCATACCAGTCGCCGTCGTTCACCTTGGGTGATTTCGACCCCAACTACATGTCGGGGTTTGACGGTACCTCCGGATCGGCTCCAACTCCACCATCTGTGGAGGAGGTACCGGTTCATACGGCTGTCGTTGAGGAGGTACCGGTTCAGGAGGCGACAGCTTCGGAAGGATTTTCCGGAACCGCGAGCGGAAGTGTTTCGACACACACCGGCTCGAAGAGATCGAGAACCTCCTGTGTGTGGCAAAGCTTCGACGAGATAAAGGAAACATGCCCCGACGGAAGGGAGGTATCGAAAGCCCGTTGTAGAATATGTAGGCAAATTTTATCTGCTCGTTCTTCTGGTGGTACAGGTCACCTCAAGCGCCATGCGGAGTCGTGTGCCAAGAAGCAAGGAATACAACTCCGGCAGCAGCAACTTATGCTAAACCCAGACGGTACGGTACGCAGTTGGGAGTACGATCCCATGGTTGCTCGGGAATCTCTTGTCCGGTTAATCGCCAGGCAAGATTTACCCCTTAACTTTGGAGAGTCCCCTGCTTTTGAACATTACATTCAGCAATCTCATAACCCTAGGTTTAAAGCTGTGAGTAGGCAAACATCAACTAGAGATTTAGAGAATGTTTATCACAAGGAAGCAACTGCACTTAAGGAACTGTTTAGTACATGTACTTTCTCTGTTTGTGTTACTTCAGATATATGGAGTAGTAGAGCTAGAGAGGATTATCTTAGCGTAGTTGTTCATTTTGTTGATGATGATTGGCAATTACAAAAGAGAGTTTTAGGGCTTAGGTTAATAGATGTCTCACATACAGGAGAAAACATAGCTGAAAGAATTAGGGAAGTAATTAATGAATTTAATCTTGCTGATAAAATATTTGCTGTCACCCTAGATAATGCATCTGCTAATTCTAGAGCTATTGAAATATTGCAACCTTTATTTTGTGTGTATGCTCAATCTTTTCTACTCCATCAGCGTTGTGCATGTCATATAATTAATTTGATTGTTAAGACTGGCATGAAGAGGGTAGGTGACCACATCGATGCTGTTCGTCAAGCAATCGCGTGGTTAACTGCTTCTAACCCGCGGATTGCTGCATGGAAGAGGTTTTGCAATGCGGCCGGTGTGGAAGCTCGTAAGTTTGCCACCGATGCAGAGCATCGGTGGAATGCAACGTATTTAATGTTAAAAGTTGTTTTACCTTATAGTAGTTTACTTTCTGATTTTGTTCAGTCACGTGGTGGCCCAAGAAACAGTGACGGGTCTTCAGTACTGAACGAGCATGTTTGGGCAATTGTCCAAAAATTTTACCAATTTCTAGAAACTTTTTATGATTGTACTCTAACTTTGTCACATGTTTATTATCCAACTGCTAATATAATTTTGCACAACCTTCTTGAAATTGTTACTTTATTTAAAGAATACGAAAATGATGACGTTCTAACTGAACCTGTCTTTCACATGAAACAAAAATATTTGAAATATTGGAAAAATATACCTATGTTGTATGCTCTTGCTTTTGTTTTAGATCCTAGGTGTAAATTAAGGGGATTGTCTGCTATTTTATCACTTGTTGGAGATACTATAGGTGTAGATTATAGTTCTTTTTATACTGAGGTTAGACGTAAATTATATGAGGTTTTTGGAAGATATGAAGTAAAGTTTCAGGAAGTTCGCCAGCGGAGACCCCCTCCTATCCCCACTACAGGTAAGAAGAAGATACAGTGGGGTAGGATTTGGGGTGGATCGTCTTCAAGTTCAATCCAAGGTGGTGGCAGTTCGTCGGCTACAAGTGGAGACGCCTCTTCGCATGTTGTGGCCGAAGAGTTGTCCGGTTATTTGGACAGCGACGCCATCCACCACGAAGCACAAGATTTCAACGTCCTCGGGTGGTGGAATGACCACAAGATAACATATCCTGTGCTTTCAAAACTAGCACGGGATGTGTTGACGGTGCCCGTGTCGACGGTGTCCTCCGAATCGGCCTTCAGTCTATGCGGCCGAATCATCGAAGACCGGAGGACGACTCTGCGCAGCGACCACGTCGAAATGCTACTAAGCGTTAAAGACTGGGAGCTTGCTCGACAACATGCCCAATACACTGCGGACAACCAAGAATTGGCCGCCCACTTCGAGCAACTCTACCTGGATCCAGACCAACCCCAGTAGAATTTTGTTAGAAGTAGTTCTGACCTTTGAGCTGTACTCTTTTCTTTGTCATGGTTTTCTCATTTTCCCCTATGAGTTTTTACATGACAAAGTTTTTAACGAGGCAGCATGTATCATTGTATCCTGTAATGATATAAACATCAATAAAGGTCATTACTATTTTTAACAAATTCTTTTGCAATATTTTCGCAAGTGTGGATTTACCTTTAAATTATTTCATAATAATGAATCACAATCTATATTTTTAAATTTTTCAACACAACAAAAAAATACCATTTTTTCTTTTTTTTAACATTAGCATATCATTACTTTTTTAAAAAACTTTTATTTCCATTTTTTAAATACCATTTTTTCATTTTTTAACATTAGTAAATCATTACTTTTTTTTAAACATTTTATTTCCATTTTTAATTTTTTTTTCCTTACACATTTCCTTTGCTTTTTTTTTAAAAAAAAAAACTGTGCACACGGGCCGCCGTGCCCCGAACGGCCCGTGGGCCGCGGGCGTGCCGTGCCGGCACGGGCACGGCCCGGCCATCCACGGGCCGTGCTTGGGCCGGCGGCTCGGCACGTGGGCCGGCACGGCACGGCCCGTTTCATCAGCCGTGCCTAACGGGCCGTGCCGAAACGGGCCGTGCCGGAACCGTGCCCGTGCCGGGCCGGGCCGTGCCGCCCGTTTGGCCACCTCTACGTCCGCGCGGCGTGTCCCTGTAGGGAGGCGCGACCCCCACGAGGGGAACGCACGCCTCTGGCTCCTCAGCTCTCTTTTTCTCTTTTCCAGAGACACTTCCTCGAGACTACGCGTTGGGGCGACCCAGTGCCCTGTCCCCTACCTCCTCCCCTGGTGTTTCCCCTTCTTGCCCCTCACCAGCGGCATGGCGATGAGAGAGAGAGGCGACGTCGACAGATCTGCGATGGCCACAAGGATCCACGACGACTAGATCCGGCCACAGCGCGCCGCGGTAGCCGTCGGTCACCAGCCGGTGACGGGCGGAGACGGCTTCCTCGCGCCGCGGCCGCCGCCGGCCACCAGTCGGCGACGGGCTTGGCTTCCGCTCGCCATCTGCTAGGAGTGAAAATGGTACGGAATTTTTCCAGATTCCGGTCATGTTTTCAGAAATGGAATCGGCCGGTCAGATTTTTTCGGAAACGGAATCGAAAACAGAAATATTTTCCCAGAAACGGAATCAAATATGATAATAGCAGTTTCCGTTGGAACTCGGAAACGGTCGGAAACATTCCGGAAAAATTGTCGGAATTTCCGAAGTTAAAAAGGCCCATAGATTCAATAGTCCATAATTCATCCCCAACTTTCCAGCGCAACCCAAATCGCGGCATCTACCCTAACTCAAGTCTCTAACCGGCTAACCCTAGAGAGGAGAGAGACAGACAGACGCAAACGCGAGCCGGCGGCGGAGCGGCGGCTGTGGTGCATCCAGATCGCGGCATCGCGCGCCCCCGCGCCCACCGCCCGCGCCACCGCTCGCCACCTGGTCCGCCGTCCTATCCTCGCCCCCACCATCTCGCGCCGCCCTCGCTCTTCGCCGTTTCGCCGCTGGCCGCCGCCACCATCTCGCACCTCCGCCGGCCTGCTCGGTCCCCGTTATCTCACGACGCCGTCCCGCCACGTCTCGCCGTTTCACCGCCGCCACCACCACCGACGACGACGCGACAGCCACCACCACCGATGACACCTCAAGCCCCACTGGCGACTCTTCCTCACCGCCACCAACGCCGACGACTCCTCGCCTCGCAGTAGCCAGCAGCCCAGCGGCAGCAACTGAGCAACCAGCAGGTGTTATTCCTCATTCCTTAACCTCCACCTCTGTCACTCTGTGTTAGTGTTACTGTGTAGGCTCTATATATTTGAGTGAATGTTGAATGATTGATGTCTTTTATTTTCTTTGTACTAAGGAGCTTGGTTATATTACATTCTGTGTAGGGAGCTTGAATACTGTGTAGGTTTTATTTTCTTTATATGTTTATGCCTTCTTGCTTCTGGATTTTATTTTGTTCTGTTAATTTTGTAGAAGTTATTAATATGCTCTATTGCCATTTGCCAAGCACTCCAATTATAGAAATACTGCTTTGTTTGTGGGGAATAATACAAATGCAGCTGAAAAATAATATATGCTACTATGTCCAGCTAAGGACAGACTGTGGTCTTGAGCCTAAACCATTGATTTGATTTCTTTTATGCTGCAGATTTGTGATGGAATCATCAAATGCAAGTAGCAGCAGTGCAAGTGTATGCAATGCGGGCATTGTAGCTTTGCCAGCATCACAACCAACCCTTGCAAATGTAGGAGATCCTACCACAAATGTGGGTGCAGTGGCAAGAGTAGAAGTTGCTGTTCTGTGATGATTGATGAACTAAGTATTGATGGACTGATGTTCTGTTGTTGTTCTCAAACCCATTTCCTGGAGAGATAGGCTGATAGCAGTATAGCACCTGAATTGTGTATACCTTATACCATTGTGTTTTGCTGTATTCTTTTAGAATATTTGTTATGCAAATTATATGAAGTTATAGAAGAATATATTTTGCTGTTGATACTAAACAATTAGTCTTGATATAATTGTGTTTTATGATGAATTGTTGACTGTTGAGACTTGAGAATTGGACTTGACAAAAGTTTGAGGGGTTTTTGTATTCCGATAAATTTTCGTTATCGTATCCGCGCCGGTTCGTTTTCGCTCCGTTTTCGGTTTCGATACTATTCGTTTCCATTTTCGTTTCCGGTGTTTCCGATTCCGATTTCGGAAAAAATATGAAAACGAAAATGTTAAAGGTCGTTTCCATCCGTTTCCGTACCGTTTTCACCCCTACTGTCGGCCACCGAGCCCTGCGCGTCGTTCTCCGTCAGCGGTGACGGGAGAGAGAGAGGCGGCGACGACGAGTGGCGGCAAGAGAGAGAGAGAGGCGGCGGGAGAGAAAGGATGTGGGAGAGTGGATCCAGCTGCCGGTGAGGTGGACAGCGACCGGCAACAGGAAAGAGTAGGAGAAACGGCGACGGCCACCGGGATAGAGAGGGATAGAGCAGCGACGAGTCAGAGAGGGAGAGAGAGGAGAGCGACGGAGGGGAGAGAGAGCGGGAGGCGGCGGCGCATCTGGGCGAGGAGGGAGAGGAGAAGCGGCGAGGGGATAAGGCCAAGAAAATCGGTGAAAAAAATGCCGAAGGAAAAGAGAAGAGAAGGGAGAAGACGGTGGATGCTCGGTGGGCTAGGGGTAGGGAAGGAAATCATATATGTGGCTACGTGGGTTGGGGCACCCCATTGTGGGCTAGGGTATCTTCATCAGTTGCTTGAGATTTTGAAGCCCCAGCTGTAAGTATATGACTTTGGGAGATGTGTGTCCTATTAAGTGGCTTCAGTTAGTGAGAGCATCCATAGAGTGGCTTTGGTTGTACATGTCCTAATAGGCGATTGGTCGCTGCTACGTGGATGACGCGATCACTCTTCTCTTTCCCCTTTCGTTTGTGGTTCAGGAGTTTTGCTGTTGGGGTCTCCCTTCTTTCGGCCCGTGCAAACCCAAACGCAGGGCCATGGTTTAAATATATTTAGGGATGGCAATTTCCCTGTGGGGACCCGCCCCTACAGGGCCAGGGACAGGGCGAAAGATGACCCCGTGGGGGGCGGGGCTCCGCAAACAAGCAGGGACGGGGGCGGGGCAGCTAGTTCACCCGCGGGCCCCCATGGGGACCCGGACATCCAGTAGACCATAGGAAAATCCAGCCTAAGACAAACTTGTATAATCTGTCCAGCAGCAATCCGATAGCCCATTAAAAAATCAGCCCAAAGAAGCCCACACGAGCAGGTATAGATGCAATGCAATCCACCTCAACCCTAATCCCCATCCATCTCCTGCCGCCGCATACCTGTTGCGCAACCGCCCAACACTGCTCCTCGCGCAATCGCGTCCGGCACCGCACCGCGCATTTCCTTGCGCCCGGCGCCGCACCACGTCGTTGTGCCCTCGGCGCACGTTCTCCTCTCCTATTCCTCCCGAGTTGAAGCCTGAAAGGGTAGCCTCAAACAAGAGAATGCTCGCGTGAATTGAAGACCGACGTCTTTTGTTGATTCCTAGCCCTCAGATGCATGATGGTTGAGATCGTCCCCCAACGTGCAGGTCAAGCACAGCTCCAACCCTCTTCGCTGCTTCCCCACTACCATCAACGTCTTCCGCCCACAAGCTTCGTTGTGCTGCCCCCATCGTTCTCCTTTGCTGTTGTGCATCCAATGCGGGGGCCCGGTCGGGTTCCGGGGACCCGCCTGGGGCGGGGGTGGGGGTAGATTTCGCCCCGAACTCTTGGTCTGGGTCGGGGGCGGGGCGAAGAATGCTGGGCCAGGGCCGGGGGCATTCTACCTCCACCCACCCCCGACCCGTCCCGTTGCCTTCCCTAAATATATTCTGCCATAGTTTAAAGGAATAAGTTCATCTAAGGTCCCTAAACTTATTTCATCCTTCAACCAGAAAACCAGATACAACGGGTCCCTCAATGGTCAAAACCGGTGCAACATAAGTCCCAAGGTGATTTTGGCTGACGTTGCACCTATGTGGCTCTTTTGACTAGGTATTCGTCTCACGTGGCATTGATGTGGCGCTTATGTGGCAATTTGATCCCGGAAAAATAATAAAACCGTGGGCCCACGTGTCAGCGACACACAAAATAATTAAAAATGGTAGGCCCCACATGTTATCCTCACTCCTCCCTCTTCTCTCTATCAGTGTCAGCAAATTGACGAGGAGCAAATCCACTAAGGGCCCATTTGAATTGGAGGAAAAACATAGGAATTGTCACGTCCGGAAATTCACTAGTAATTTCCGAACTTATTTGTGCATAAAATCCTCGTCCAGGAATCAGCCGAGGTACACAAACTGACAATTTAATATACAGATTCATCAAATTAACTAAAACGATAAATACTTCCTTAAGAGACACTTAGTCCTCACCATGAAGAAAACTGCAGCGGAAAATAAAATCTAGCGAAGCTCCGGCTCCACTCCCACAGGCAGCTCAACTGGGGTATAAGCCAAACGTCTTCTCCTTCTGGATCCTTTTTCTTCAACTGAGGTTGATTGATTATTGCAAGGTGAGCATATGACATACTCAGCAAGCCACACAGCAAATATGCAAGTGCACAAGGATACCAAAGGATGGCATAATATTGGCTCATTTGCAAAAGCAGCTTTTAGCAAAACATTTAAGAGAAGTAAAACAGTGGAGTAATTAATCAGAAATTTTAATCAACACTGAACAACACACCCATGCTGCACAGGCCCAACCATCCTGAACAACCATACCCGGCTGTACAGATCTAACTCCAAACCAGGAGCTAAGCAAATTATTACTAGGTATAACATCCATAACTATTGTGAGAGGTGTGAGACTAATCACGAAAAACATTGCTCAACCCGCCCATAACCGCGGGCACGGCTATTCGAATAGTTTTACTCTGGCCAGAGGTGTACCACTGTACCCACAAGACACAGCCCCACAACATGTCACCATGTGCCTCAATACCACCACGGTATCTCGGAAAGGAGCTGTGACAATACCCCTTGCACAACACAATCCACCACAGCGCACCTTTCCTGGATCATAATCACCCTCTTATAAACAAGGCATGGACTCCCCAGCGACCTCCGTGGGCTTATCTCCGCCACTTCTCAGTCTGGTGCTCCGCAATGAATCATGCTATACAAAAGGTAAAGCCGTTGCCCACGCTGGCTTGTGGTTGGCACGGTTAATGTTTCACAATAGTAGCTCGCGAACCGGTCCTTAATTGTCATGAGCACGACTCTCAAAACCATGTGCTCACAACCCACCATTATCAAGTTTTAGTTGGCAAGTAATTAATTAACCAATCACGATTAACCATCGTGAACTATCATTAAGCCATCATTAAATAATAATGAGTCATAAGTTATCCCAATAGTGTGCTAATGTTTCTAAGCATGGCTAAGTAATCATATCTAATATCTAGCTGAACCAATATATATAGCCCAACTAGTCATGTTATAATAACCCAAGGTATCAAGGAATAAAGTAATCAATGCAAACATGCCATAACAAAGGAATAGATTCACACCACCCAGTGACATTCGAAAATAAATGCACAGTTGAAATAAATAAAGAATTTAAATATAGGATCAACATGCTCAAAGGATTGTGTTTAGGATCTGTGTGACTTGCCTTGCAATAATCGGTTTTCAATTAATCTTCTTGAATACTTCCGGCGCACTCGCGAACCTTCGCAACGACGGAAACGACAAGCTAACACGCAAAACGAAGAAAAAGACTAATAAAAACCAAATAAACAATACATAAAAAGTAAACAAACATGTAGATCATAATTTTAGATGAATTTAGAGACTTGAACGGCCTCATTCCGATTTCATATGAATTAGTTACAAATTTTACAAGATTAAATTCCAATTAAACCTATTAAAGAAAAGACTATTCCAAATTAATTAAACAATTTACAAATGATTTATAGCTGAGACAGAAGATTAAAACATCCTCCGGAAAAAGATTAGATCATATTTGGTAGATGACATATATTAAAAAGGAATAATATGTCATTGAAAAGAAAGAACGGATTTATATCAATTTTGGACGGCTAAGATTAATCTTGCAAGCGAACCTCACGAGATACCGACTCAACGAGTCAATTCTACGTGACACGGGATCACCCAAATGATCAACCGAAACCGGCGAACGGAACCGGCGGCTCTGAAAGGCTCTAAACTAAAGGACGACTCAACACAGACGAACGGACGAAGCACGGGGAACACCTCGTTCGAACGAACGAGCGAACGACTCAACAACGACCGCGGCTAAACCGGTGGCTAGGTTTAAGAGGCACACAGCTGCGACACGGCGGCACTAGGGCGACTTGGCTCGGCTAGGCGGCGGCGACTCGGCGGAGACACGCGGCTGGGGTTAGGGCGACGGCACAGCGACAACGGCACACGGCTACGGCAGAGCGACGACTACTCGACAACAAAAACGGGAGATTAAAAACTAAACCGAGGGAAAACGGATAGAAGTCTCACCGAACCAAAATGATCGGAGAGGGAGAGATGATGACAACGTTCCGATAGCAACACATGGAGACGACAACGCTAGACAAACCGCGGATTAGATTATATTGGATTAAGACCCTAGGGAAAAACCTACACCGGCGAACGGCATGGGAGCGGCGGTTGCCGGCGAACAACGGCACAAAAAAATGCAAACGGAGGGCACCGGGAGGTAGAGAAGGCGACGGCGATTCTTACCAACACTTACGCAACGACGGACAGCGACGGAAGATGGCCGACAACGAGCTTCGAAGGGCGGCGAGGTACTGTCCATGGCGGCGACGACTTTCCGGCGACGAGCAGCGATAACGGAGGGGTGGACGGCCATCACCTCGCAGCTGCCAACCCAAAGGAGGCGACGGCGACCGAAGGCGACGACGGGATGAGCAGCAGGGCCTCGCCGGAGATCAAAACATGGCAACGGTTCGGCCTTCACGGGGACGGCGACTTCTGGCGGGGTTCGGCGCAAAAGAACGGGTGGCCGGGGTAGAGCTCTTCACTGCGAAACC